GTATTGAGGTGCCTGCGTTGAAACATCAAACCACTCAGAGAATGCAGCGTCCCGGAAGAGCCACTTAGCACAGCCGGCGACTGATCGGTTCCGGATCCAATCTAATCTGTCATCAAATAAGAAGGGTGCGACCTGACCTTTCAGACCAGTAAACCTCTGCCGGCTATGTGATGTTTGCATCTCTGAGAACTGCTCCAGCGATTTCACGCGAGCCTGTTGAGCTTCACTAACGTCAAGAAGCGTGACCTCGTTCCTAATCAGGGTCGCATGCAACTCGATATTACTCACTACCACATCGAGTTTCTTCTGGTAGCTAGGCCAGATTGCCTCAAACATTTGTTTCCAACCTAAGCCGTAGTAAGCGGGCGGATACTGGCATGTGTATAACTACCGGAAATAAAGGGATTTACTCACGCCGCTTCCGGAAAAAGTCCAGGTTCACACGGTAAAATTCCAGGAGATCCCCGTAGAACAAGGCCATTGCGGCCCGGATGGCGTCACTCCACTCAAAAACGCTCAATGCCATGGCGAACTGAGGAAGAGCGTAGCCGACCTTCACCATTGTGTCTGCCACCCGGTCAAAGGCGCTGGTCAGCTGACTGGACAACTGCAAAAGCAGCTTGATCGGGCCCCATATTAGCGCGAGTTCTGGCTTGACTTGGAGTAAGACTTCGATGACTGCACTATATGACGATAGGCGCTCGAGGAAGGGTCTAATTCGGGCGAGATTTCGGAGGCCTGCCTTGCCTGCAGCCTCTTCTTGAAGCTTCGCAGTCAAATTGTAGACTTCGTCGATGCTATTAGAGGCGAGGATCTCGTTATAAAGATTGGGATCGTTCAAGTGGCTGCGGAAAGACTGCTGGGCCTGGTGGAAGATCTCCAGAGCCGGGTCATTAAGTGCCATAATGGTCTCAGAAAGATAAGTGGAGTTGGACTGGGAAGCGTGCTGATTTCGTCGCGGCGAGGAGATCGACTTATATTTAGCTGATCGTGTGCAAAAGACACTAGAAACGTGGCAGTGAAAAATAAAACAGTGGTCTCCAATTGGCTCAAACTGCTCATATCGTGATTCAGCAACTGCGCCACCCCAAGTTCCGCACTAATTGGGTTCAAGTGCTAGTCAGGGGTGCGCTAGTGTGCGCTAGTTGGTGATAAAAAGCGTTATCGGAACCCTCTTCCGCCTTGAATTTCCGGCAGCGGCAGCAGTCGGAAGAAACATCCACGATGACCATACCAGGGAAGCGAAGCTGCCATCCTCAACCGGCGGAAAGAGGTGCCAAAAAGCCGAGACAGGATCTGAATAACTCTGAAGCCACTGTACGCGGCAACTTCATAGACTTGACGCTCAACGATGAGGACAACGATGAAAACGCTCATGTGGCAGGCGCTTTGGAAGTGACCTCCAGCACGGTCAATGGGTCTTTAATTGACCAAACAAGCCGTCCTTCTCTCTCATACTCTCCTCATATAGTGGATAAGCTCTATGATACCTGTTTTGGAATGGTGATCACAAGCAGATATTATAAATTTTCCTATGAAGGATAGGCTGACGGATCCTCCCAGCTCTGCATGCGTGCAACCGCCTCCGATGAAGGACAACTACCCGTCGGATGTACCCCTGCAACCCTCATCTTTAGCCGTGATGTGGTTCGCGTCATGATAGGTACTGAGAAGCGCGTGGCGATTCTCGTTTCCAAAGCGCTGTGGTCTTTGACCACCAAATTTGCTGTTACGCTGCACGCGACGATCTGCGGCCGAAGACCGAAACTAGCTGCGACCAAAGATAAGTTGAGCAAACGTACTAACAGCCTGATCGCCACTACGAAGATCAAGTATTACTCGCTCCGAGTCTTCATTTACGGATTTTCCAGGCAAAAAAAGGAGATCGGAGACTATCTGGCAGGAAAGGAGTTGTTTCTGCAACATCCTCATCCGTTGGAGATCGATAGCGGCGTAAAGTATTTGAATCCCCAATACCTGCTCCCACCAGGTAAGGAGGAGATGCCTCCACCCAGCCAGCTATCAATCGCGACGTGTTGCGCGGGTCGTGAGAGCCCGGGAACGGACGCGCTGAGTGAAGACATAAGGGCGAGATTATACCAGATTTTCGATACCGCCTCGGCTAACCGGGGGATAAAGTTGACTATTCAACCAAGTACCCGTCTTACAACGGTGCTGAAAAGGTCTTTGCCTTTTCCAAGTCCATATCACGGGACACTCTCCACTAACTATGACGCGATAGGCATCAACTTGAGGCGCTGCTCATGATGGTGGAGAAGGAGACAGGGATCTTTGAGGACTCTCAATTTCCATCTATTTGGCTACCTTTCAGAAGCCCCGGTGGGAAGATTCGGTAGGGCCCCCTCAATTTGACACGTTTCAAACATTAGAGTGAAGTTTCAAATATCAGCAGCTGATCTCCGATAGATACCAGAACATAGTTACCAAGCTGTTCAGTATGGAGCGGCCTGCGCCCGTCGGGGGCGGGATCCTGGCGGACGTATGAGTATTTCCGAGTCCACGGCACACAACCTTTGTCTGACGGTGCACAGGATATGGGACTAGGGAAGACCCTGTCAGCCCTTGCGCTTGTCTGCAACTCGCTCGATCGGCACCAGAAAAGTGCCCTGACTGGCGTTCCTAAGGGCACCCTAATTGTGACGCCTAAGTCAAGTATGGTTCTGCCGGCTCTCTGGAGCTCAAATCCTCATAGGAAGCATGGCTAACTCTCGATAGCAATATACGGATGGGAGTCACAAATCAAAAGGTGGGAGCCTTTTTGCTTTTGGCCTCAACTAATGCATTTTCTCAATTGGGGGTATACAAAACATCCAGGCTGATTCTTGCTAGGCATATCCATCCGGAGCAGATACAGTGGCTGACCTACCATGGATATAAACGTCACGAGCTGGATAAGAGCCTGGATAAGTACGATGCTGTGCTGACTACCTACGACATGCTAAATGCAGAAGGGGAAGAAGGCTCGTTGCTCAACCACGAGTGGCAACGAATAATTCTTGACGAAGGTTTGTGTAGCTCCCGGGCTTGTCCCCTCCACCCGTTATAGTCGGATCTCACGCTAACATTGCGTGCCGTGGGAAAATGTGAACAGCTCATCGAATACGAAACTCATCATCAAAGACATTCCGCACCGTCTGCTCCCTGCAAGCCCAATACCGGTGGTGTCTCACCGGCACACCTATCCAAAACCGCCTGGCCGATTTCGGTGCGCTACTGGAATTTATACGAGTTCCGCCGTTCGAGTCCCCAGGTTCGTTTAATAGGCTGATAGTAGATTCCATATCGGAGAATAAAGCCAGAAGCTTTGACCTTCTGAGGAGCGTGGTTACTGCAACTTGTTTACGACGAACAAAAACAAGTTATGCAGCAGAGCTCCGCTTGCCCCGGAAGACCGAGCTAGTCGAGAGAGTGCACATGGATAAAGAGGACAGGGAACTCTATGAGTTCTTCAAGCGCTATTCCTTCCTCACAGCTGGAAAGGCAGTATCGTCACAGAAAAGGGCCGGAACTAACATCCTTGTGCTAATCCACCATCTCCGACTGATCTGCAATCATGGTGTGGCCCTCCTTCCCAAAGCTGCCCTCATCGCGTGGCACGAGCGCGATGACACCTCCCTGACCTGGAGGACTCTGGAATCTGAGACAGTTAAGTGTGCATTCTGTGCTCAGTCAGTCGAAGAGAATCGCTCCAGTGAATCCTTGGTGGAGGAAGTGGGCTGCGGACATTTCATTTGCGAAAGTTGTACTACGGAAAACAATAGCCAGCCGTCGTGCCCCAAATGTGAAGCAAATCAATGCCGCAGCTCATCGCCGACCCCTACTAGTTTCGCGCACCCTCTTGAAGTAGGTTATGCTCCCTCGGCCAAGCTTAGGGCGCTGCTGCGCAACATCACCCAAAGTCGGAGTATCTCCGATAAGAATGGAGTCCAGACGAAATTGTATGGAACAACAGCCCTCATGGTCTTTCCAATCTAAACTATAGTCGGATAAGCTGACCGTCGCACATCTAACAGTGTGATTTTCAGTTACTGGACTAAGATGTTAGACCTCATAGCGACTGCGCTCACCGAAAACCACCTGACGTTCCGGCGCATCGATGGACAATCGTCTCTTAGTGAACGCAAGGAAGCATTGAGCGTTTTCGGTAGCGATCCGCAGTGCAACATCATGCTTGCAAGTATTGGAGCAGCGGGCGAGGGGTGCGTATTCAACTATCGTTTTTCACATTCTTTCTCGAAAACCGAACAACTCTCTTATACACCCAAATCAGGATTGATCTTACAGCGGCAAGCTCCATCCATATTGTGGAACCTCAGTGGAACCCGATGGCAGAAGCACAAGCTATCGACCGCGTTCATCGCATTGGACAAGAACGAGATGTGGAAGTTGTTCGGTACATCACAAGCGAGTCAATCGAGTCGGTAAGATATGCCCTGCGCTGAACATGGCAGCGCCCTGGCTGACGGGAAGCCACCTAGTATGTTCAATGGATCCAATCAGACAAACTCAGATTAATTAGCAGAGCTCTTTCTCCTGCCGAACAATGTGCTGAAAACGTGACAGAAAAGTGGTGGAAAGTGAGTATATATGTTTACCTTCAATCCCCCACCGATCTTAAACTACCTGTTGCAGAAGCTAATGCTATCTCAATAGAAAATGCTGCAGTATTTAAAATAGTATGTTATGGTAGTTCCTGATTCCTGTTCCGAATTTTCATACGCGAAATCGTCGAACCGTGCTAGACATTGTAACGGTCTCAATGTCTATTCCTACGATTCCAGGTAAAGGTCCAGGCTGTCTATTAGTAATATGATGCCATGAGAAGTGATGCTACACACCAGCATTTGCGTGGATTGCCGGTAACCACCGGTAGGTTTCACTATTATCTGTTTCTCTAACTTGAATTTCATGTATACTATTATCAATTTATATTAGCTTCTACGGCTTTTTCGCGGTATGATACTGATGTCCAATCGCGATTACATAGATGCCGCGTATCTGTGACCGTGCGATCTGGCATTATCAATGATTCTGCGCGATTCCTTTTCTTCCTCTTCCTTGGGATAACTCCGAAGACGAAGTCTTCCACCGAGGGATGCATCCTGGTCGTGAGGGGAATAGCGATGTGCTGTTTCGTTGACATATCGATGAATGTACCGCAAGTGAATAAGTGGCTAGTACATAGATGGTTCTCTAAATGGAATTTAGAGGATAAGAATAGGGTAATAATGTTTGTGGAGAGGCTAAACAAAACTCAGGGGCAAAGCAAAAATACATACAACAGAAGGGATTCGCTGGTGGTCACCCACCCAACTACTAACCTCCCGGCGTGTGGCTTAAGTACGGCTGAGCGGACGGGAAGCCCTGTTTTCCACACCCTATGGTCGTATGTGCTTGTTTAAGTCTTCTAGAGACTTATCCCCTGTTCTTTGGCATCCTCGTAATCTCCAACAATATCGTCTATCAAGCGCCCAGTGTCTCCAAATCCCGGAAGGGTCTGATCGGCAGAACCAGTGGTAACACCAGCCATCTCCTGTACGCGACTTTCACCTTTGCCATTGATCGCATTCACTTTGCCATATTATTGTTTCTGAAATTTCCTATGTCGTCATCTTCAAGACGCCCAATGCTGTCGGAATTCGGGGAGAGTTTGCATATGACCATCCCTGGTACCCCCAGTTATCTTCAGCTCAAGTGCTTCATCATTTCAGTTGGCATTAGTCTCTGTAGGCACTATAAGCTGCAAAGTCCTTCCCTTATAAATGTATAAGCGAGCGATGAACTCCTCGTGCTCAGCTTTCCCACGCGACGATAGGTCAGGTGTCGCTGCTTGTCTAGCCGGGTTATTCAGAATATATGATTGAAGGGACAGCCCCACCTCAACCCACTGACATCAACTTAGCTCCTTGCTTTGCAACAGGTGTCTCCCATGCTGTGTTTTATGAGTACATCAAGATAGATCCAACGCGAGGGATCGGCAGTCTTTGGTAGACTGGAACAAGGCGGAAACCCAGTAGAAGATTTTGATAAACACATGGCGACCCCCAGGGGCCTCAAGGCCAAGGGAAATAATATTATAGCTAGATCCACGAAGGTCGATAGAAGAACGTCGGTGTACGGGAGTAGCTGAATGGAGAAGACATACGGGGCAAAAGAGAGAGCAGTTTGTCGATACATGAAAATAAAGGGCTGCAGTGCAACCGCTTTAAAAAGGAAAGGGCAGTCACAAAGACAAGTTACTTCGGCAGGATGACAACGAAGTGAAGACCCTCGAAAACAGTAAACATAATTGAAGAGACACGATAATTGAGAGAAAAATTGGCAGGCGAGGGAAGAAAAGAACAAAAGAGGAGATTATCTGCTATCAGCGGTGACCTCGACAACCCTTACAGCTGGTACAATCTCTATCGCAGAGTCCCTACTGAGACCTGGCACCCAATTGTTCTGCCACCGAGCTGTGGCAGCATTGAGGACTTTCGGGTGGCTTGCACCGTTGTTCTGAGAAAGCATGCTCGGTATAGTTGATTCGTTTATATATTTATTACATCTCTGGGAAACACTGCCGACCTCGACCTGCACCATCGATTTCTGCGTTACGCGTACAACATATCATATGGAGAGACATACGCGTCGGCCTGGCTGACTTTAATAAAGGATTCATGTAACAGCATAGACCGATCTTTTGACTGGGATCGATGGAAAGGTAGCCAAGTAGTAAAGAAGGAAAAAAAGTTACAAAAATTACGTAGAAAGCACTATTGGGGAAATGAGGAAGTAGTGTTTATGGGTGCTATGAGAAAATCAACCAAAAACAAAAAAAGAACGACCGAGACGTGACTCGAACACGCAACCACTGCCACATCCACTACCGGAAGGCAGCGCGCTACCATTGCGCCACCCGGCCGCTTTTTATGCTAATGAATCAGAATTTTTGCATTATACTCCTGAACAGTATATTACCTGTCAGAATGAAGATGAAGAGTTCGGAAATTCTCACTATACACATTAATGTGTGGCAGTGGTATACTTGTAATTCAGAATAATAAAAGTCTACGTTTCTCACAGCTCCAGGTTTGTCTTTTGACTACTAGGCATGTTGTAATAAAGATTATGTTGGGTCGAGATTGAGATTAGTAGTGTCGTCGGCATGACGGTGCTACTCGGTCTGTCCAAATATATAATGGGCAGCCGAAGTACTAGTATTAGTAGTAGTAGTAAGTAGTATATGTCACTCCACCAAACTTACGATCAGCACTATTAGTTGAGTCCTGCCATATTTCCTCCCCCCAAAGCTAGCCGCTGGCACCCTTGCTATATGTCCCCCCCCCCCCTTTCTGCTGAACAATAACAAGCAAGGATGGAGACCTAGCCCAGCCATGCAACCTACCACGGTTGGCTGGTCTCTGTGTCGCGAGTCAATATGAACGCGAGTCAATACATTATAATGGTCTTCCATGAATCTCCCTACTTTTAGCACGCCGTAGTGAATTCCACGAGAACCATGCCTTTCTTCATGAAAACTTCAAGCTTAGAAAACAGCCAATATCTATTTAGAGATTACAAGCTACCATTGGCAAGGACCTTCCCCGCACAAAACCGGTAGACCTGGAATCCACAAAGCTTAGCATAGGCATTATCTCGGCTTTAAGCCTAATGTATCCCACTGTAGGTCAGTGAATCATATTCCTCCTCGAAAAAGCATAGGCATGGCTAGAAACGCTCAAGTAGCTGACTTCTCCCTGGTCAGAGGCCGTTTGTAACCAGCAATGACTAAGAAGGCAACACGTCGCATCGTATCATGTTTCCAATACAGCAAGTATCAGTCACACAAACGGAGGGACCCGACAAGAAAGATTCAACAGGCCAGAAATTTGGAGCCTAGAACTTTGCTGCATTCACTCTCACCTCTTGGCCGCCGGCCCAAATTAGCAATCCTCGTTTATTTTCCCCCTCATAACAAACCCCTCGTCAACACCATCCATCACAACTCCATCACCTCTTTACACTCTTCCCCTCGTACATCAATCCCACAACAATCCTATCACCAATTATACCACTCTCTACTCCAGAATGACTAGTAGCGAAGAACACCACGAAGAGACCGGCCGTATGTACTACAACCTCTACCAAACGAACGATCATACTAACATAAAGACAGAGTTTGGCACTGTCCCCATCTCCATCGACACTCTGAAAGAATTCTACATGGGTGTCCTCACTAAGATGGAAGAAAGATACCATAAGCTTCCCAAGGCTCTCGCCGTTGAGCTCAAGCTCAAAGATAATTCCGGAGAAGGCCGCTTTTCCCTGGAGTTCCTCGTTAGTTACACACCCGTTTCCCCATGAGAACATTCAAGTCTGACAGTATGGACGTGTTAGTTGAGTGCCACTGAGGAGACCACCGCAGAACAGAGATCCACTACCTTCTCCACCATTCTTCATACCATGTCTGAAGAGTCAAAGTTTGAAGGACTGAACATGGACATTCGCGTCAAGTGTATCACTGTCTGAGATGAGATGTGACAGATGGGTTGATGGGGCGGGCTTCATCTACTGAATCGATCAGCGACAATCATGTTCCTGATGGCTTGTGCGTACTCAGATATCAAAAATCTGCTCGACAATAATTACTGGGCTATGGCAGAGAATGGTTTTGTCTTGTGAGGATTGTGGAAGCTCTAGGATGCAGGTCATAATAGTGTTAGGAATAATCTGCAATGTCATATGCCGTCTCTAACTTGAAGCACAGTCTACTTAATGGAACAAGTCAATTCTTTTCTCAGCCCCCCAAATTTTTATAGAATGAAATATCGGCTATATTTCTGGATGCAGGAATGGATAATCACAACATCTCATCGAATATGTTACGCGACGGCTCGACGCCCATATACCACTCTTAAACCAACCGGATGGATCCCGTTGTTGCAGTCGGGATATCCAACCAGATAAATCACCAGCAACCAACCATATATCCATGCCTAGACAACTCATATAGCACCGATACCGTTAAAACACACAACTAGGTACATCAGAGTAGTAATTCGATGGTAGACTGAAGATTAACTGAAATACCCCGGTTTAATGGCCTGTAAGGGCCCCCCAATCGTGATATTCGAGACACCATTGTTCCTTCAAAATTTCCCAAGGGTCTAAGTCATCTAGTGCAGTAGAGCACCATAGGTTTGGGACCGATGTCACTCGGCTAATGAGTTGTTATGTTGTTCCATTTAGGCTAGAGCCGATGTACATTGTGGGCAGAAACTTGCGACCGACAAAACGGCGCGGTAATATGGACTTCGAACACTGTAGCTAGAGAAGACAAAAAACTTTTTTCTACAAAGTTGAAAATAAAATATGAATAGATCTTGGCGAAATGTAAAGCGCTAGAGGGGAAGAGGGAAAAAAATGAGAAAAAGAAATCAAATAGCATGTCCTGGTTTCGATCCAGGGACCTCCGGGTTATGAGCCCGGCGCTCTTCCCCTGAGCTAACATGCTGGGTGTATGAATAAGAAGCTCTTTTTTGAAAATATAAATCAAAGAGAAGACACATAGAGGCTGGGAAAATAGCCAACATCTACATTAACAGGTGGTGGGTGCTGGATGGGATAGTAAAATTGGTAGTCATTCTCTTGAACCTTATTATATTGAGTATATCTCAGGACATGAACACTGAAAGTCAGCGCATTTAGAATTCTAGAAATCGTGGAATATATGCTGATAAGAGCTGCATAGATAGACCCTTGTGTGGCCTATAAGTCGATCGCCGTAGGGTTGTTATTCGCCTATTTCGATCTATTAACCCAGCTGCCAGGCAACAAGAGATACCCCTTACTCGTGACGGCCAGCTGCTGCCTGAACAGCCCCACTGCTTTGCGTTTGTTGATAATACAACCTAGTATAGTCTGAGCGGTACCTCTCGCTGCCTCAACATTGAACCCTGCAAATTGGTGCAGATACCTCCAACGACACCATTCAGGTGCATATCAACAGCGGCATCGGTCGCGATCAGCTGACTGAGGCTTATTATTTATATCTTTGTCCTTATTCTTTACCGCTATTTCCTTTGGCCGGAGGACTTTTTCTTATCTTTGGAGACATCTGTTTCTTCCATCGGCTCGGACACCACGAGAAAATTGTCTATAGTTTTTCCCTCGCATTACACTTCCCCCTCAAAGCTCGACAGCAGCTATGATACTTCGTTCATATATCAACTGGTCTGAAGGCAATGACTACATCGGTGTAGAAGTTGCGTTCCCGGGCGGTTCTACCTGGAAAATGGAGAGAAAGATCAGGAAAGTCGAAGTCCTGCACACTCAAGATGACTATGAGGAATTGAATTGTACGTCACAGGCATGAGCTATGTTTGAATGCAGCAAAGTTGCTGGAAATGGTCCACCCGCAGCCCTTATCAAGATTCAAATCCAGTATGTTTGCCCTGCTTACTGTGCATAGATGGCTGTAAATTAATTACGATATGCAGAATTCCGTTATACAAAACCGCTACCCAGGGGCCTTCGGAACACGCCAAGCAGGCAGACCCTGATATCCCCCACCTAGCTAGTAACGAGATAGAAGCTCTCACTATCCTGACTCAGGCAAAATGCTCAAGCTCTCCATATTTGATTGACTCAATGAATCGACAGCAGACAGATGGATGGGTGCCTGGGGGCTATATTCATTATATCGTGATGGAGATGCTCCCGGGTGTAACTGTGTGCGACTGACCACTATCATTTTAAGGAGCGCGAGGAACGCGATGCGGGATGAGCTGAGAACAGCCTTCAAGAAATGATGGTTGTGGGTCACCCAAAACGACTTTTTGCAAAGTCTCAACCTAACCCAACTATTACCGCAGGCAATGCATCTCTTATGGGATAACAAATCTCGACCGTGGAGCAAAGAACCTTCGGTGGAATGCGGCAAGGAAAAAGTGGTAAGTCTTATACGTGATGTGACGATCATTAGGGCAGTGTTACCCGACACTTCGGGACAATACTGACTTCGCGGATCTCTCAGTTATATCATCGATTGGGAGAGGCACTGTGCTCCAGAGGAGGACAGGGATTCAGCTTGGTGTGATGCCAACTATTTATCGTGGAATTCGGCATGGAAGGGGCCAAATTGAACACGCAATGACATGTCGACCTGGGAATTTTGAATCAACTAGTACATTAGAGTCGACTCATTCATGACAGGCGAGCGATCTCAGAGTTTCGGTCTTCAGAATGGCATTCAGTTTGATATGCGGTGGTCCAGTCTTTGGAAGCCTGTTTACCTGAACACCCCTCTTGCATTGTAGAGTCAATCAATGATGCTAACTAATACTTACGTAGTACATACCGGACTAAAGACAAAATCTATAAAGTCAAACCAGCCACACATCTACCTACTTACCCCCCGTAAGCTTAACATAAGCGGACCCAAACTCCTGTTCCCACTTATCCACACACTCGCGACTCATACCAGGAGCAATAACCGCATCCCCACGCTCCAACCCCTCCTTGAAGAAATCCATAAACTCCTCCACCGTGAGCGCATTAGGATTCTTATGCTTCTTATTATCATCGGGATCCTCCCGGTCGCGATGCAAATCCGTCCCCACCGACGGCGGCGCAACCTCAACCACCTTAATCTTATCAAACCCTCCGCTCGCCAACTGCGACCGCAGATTCATCGACCAGAAATGCAACCACGCTTTCGTGCCATTATACACAGGATTAATCACTGAAAATGGAACAAATGCCAGAATAGAAGAGACGTTCATGATCATAGCGCTTTCTTTACTCTTGAAGTGCTCCAACAGCCTCAGAGTCAAGTGCATGGGCCCTCGGATGTTGATGTCGATTTCCTGGTCGGCTTTGGCGAGGAACTCTGATGGATCATCTTTCAGGACTTGCAGAGGCCGCTGAACGCCCGCGTTGTTGATCAAACAGTCGAGATCCGGGTGCTTTCTGATCAGGGATTCGATGAATGTCGGTATTTGAGAGGTGACTCCCGTGTCCAGGACGAAGTAATCCGTTGCTCCGATCTCCTTCGCTGTTTCGCGTAGTGTGCACTCGGTTCGACCGGCGATTATGACTTTCTTGCCCTGTTCGAGGAGATAAGAGGCGATGGCTTTGCCGAGGCCGCCTCCGCCGCCGGTGACGAGGGCGCAGGCGAAATTCAGGTTCGACATGGCTAATAGTTTATCTTGATTGATGAAATTCAATGTCAAAGCTATGCATGTATGGATGGTAGGTAGGGCAGGGATTTGAATGTAGTTGAATTTATCGATGAACTTATACTCTACCGATTTAAATTCACCGGCTGTGACGTAAGTAGTATTGCTCCAAATTCCAGATTTGGCAAAGATTTTGTGTCTGTCTCGGACTGAAAAGCGGTTTGCCGAGTTTTCTCGTAAGCATGGTGGACCGTCCTCCGACATTCGGAGTATCTGTCCGAGATCTCGGAAAACTTTGATGCTGAAATTACTCCATTTTGGGGATCATATTTGTCAGCCATTCCAGGGTTTTCCAGTTCTCTTCTCCAATAATCCAACTATAAGTTTTGTTTGTACGTTTCCAAGACAAGAGACATCTTGGCGTCGCGTACCCTCTCAGAGAATTGCTCATACCTGTGAGTCGTCGGTCTTGGTAGAGCAGAAGTAAAATAGAGCAGATTGTGTCAAGCTAATGGATGTATTTACCGTTTACTCTTATTAATATGGGAATCATGACTCTCATGATGTGCATGGTGCATTGAATGCTGTTGGGGGCTAATGTTGATAGGCCTGCATGCACTACTTACGGAGACTTGGAGTTTCACTGAAAGCTGCCGTTGCAGCCTGCAAGAGGGCAAAATTTCGCTGATACGATATATTGAACGAGTGATTTATTGTTGGTTATATTAGTGCTGCGTCGTTGGATACTAACAAAACAGCAGTAAGCATGACCAAGATTTACTTCATAATAATGTAGAAGATCGCCGTGAACCAATATCAACTCTCAGTAGAAGGGACCTCGAAATCTTCCAGAAACAGCCACCTCCCCTTCTTCTTTAATTCAGCTTCCCTCCACTTATCCAATGATCTCCTCGGGAAAAACCAGCCAACACCACCATCCTCCTCGCCCTTGAAGATGGGTAACATGGTGTGGTCATGAGCAATAAGGACAAGAACCTGATCACTAGCGTCGAACTCCGCTATTCCGTTCACAGACCGACAGCACTCATCAAAGTCATGAGTATAGTCTGGAGCAGGTATAAAGAAAGGCGTATCGGTGCTTCCTGGCTTGTACCCTAGCTGGGCGAATATATGACCAGGACAGACTGTCCCGTACTGCGGATGAGACGGCAAGGGGGAGGGTTGAATGATCTCCGGAATAGGACTCTGCTTGGTGGGTCGAAACTCTCCGGGATGGTGAGCACAGTCCTGGTGAAGTTCTCAGTTAGTTTAGCTGTTTCACAACACAGAAGATAGCATAGATAGAACATAAAGAAGGGAAACCTACCGCTCCCATCAAAATGAACGAATCTGGCTGTACTCTCGCGAGGCCGCACATATGTTCTGGAGTGTGGCCTGGTGTATGCAGCAGATAGAAGCTCCCATCGCCAAACCAGTCGATTGCTTTGAATCTCCCAATAGTTACCTTCTCAGGGTGTTGATCAAAGTCCATCTCCCGCAAAGACCGTCCTCTCCAGTCGGATGATCTGACTGGTGCATCTGGCTTTTCCGGGTACCCTGGTGCAAATCTGCTGATGAAGGTCGGCCCCACTACCAAGTCTGTAGTACTAGGGAATAATGAAGGGTCACCAATATGGTCAAAATGGTAATGAGACCAAATGATAGCATTTATTTCATCTAATGGGATGCCGTTTTCGACGAGTATGTCAGAGACGCTGCGGGGAGAGTAGACTTTCCATCCACTTCCTGGGTCCGTGCAAATGTCTCTAAACGGCGGAGCGAGGTTCTGAAAGTCTTTTCGAAGAGATAGATCGAACAATAGTCTCTTCCCGGAGGGGTGAGTGATCAGAAACGAATATGATGGCACCGCCAGTCGGTCATAGCCTGGAATCTCGGGGGTCATGAACTGCTCGGCGGGAAGATCCAGTCGTGCACCACTGTGTACCTTATTAGTGATGTTGAAGGATATTAAAGGGCAATTAGAAACCACACGTGTCAATGAGAGAAACCGAGACGGTCTCCATAGAGGGTGGCAATTCGAGTACCGAATGTGAAGCTGCCATATTGATCCAATCAGTGTGGTGAACAATCCCGTATACCTAATTGCTATCGATGCGTGGAAAAGACAAATCGTGGATTCCTATAATGCGTAGAACTACCGGATGATATCACTATGTGGATAGAACAGCAATGGAAACGATGCAACGGCGGGGTTCGAGAAGTGCGGCGTCATCCTTGCCACTGGAGCTCCACCTGATCCGTGCCGCTATAATAGACTTACTATGATCAAGGTATCCATTCTCGGCGTGGAAATGCAGGAACTTGTCTACAAAAGTAAGAGAATTGTCTTCAGAAATAGTAATTTTGCCAGAAAGTCGTATCAGTCATTTTTTAGGGGCCATATACGGCAGGTACAATTGTAAAAGTTTGGTCCCCAATTTGAAGAAGATGCAGATCGTATACGAAACGCCTATAGCCGAATTAGGCAACATAATTCTTGTGAATAAACAATGGATTTATCGGTTTAAGCTTAGACAGCCGGTCCCCACCACGAGTTGGGGAAATTGCTCGTATTATTGTTCGGCTCTCGGCCGATCCTCAAGCTTCCCCCCCGGCTGTGGCCCCCAATTGGAGGAATCCTTCCGTTTTAGGACAATCCTGGGACTTTGTAAGTAGCGAACCATATCATAAAATGGATAAGGTTCATTATTCTTGAATTTGACCAACCATAGACAAGCCAGATATTATATGCACTACTCTGAGTATTTGCCAGCAAAGTTGGTCAAGAAGTACTCAGTTAGTGAAGCGTAAGCTGACTGAAGTAGGTAGCGCCCACGTGATGCGACGCTTAGCCCCCACGGCGCCTGCATCCTTTCGGCAAACAGCGCCTGCACGTAGGCTGATCCTAGAGTTGTGCCGTTGACATTTTGGCTCCTCATCCCACAGGCTGCCTCGTCTGGACGTGTATAATCTGTGCTCATTTGGACTTCCCAAATTCTTCTCGTCGCCCCCAATGTCATCAGCATCTCCGCAGGAGCTCGCTTCACGGCTCAACCAATCTGGTAAGCAACGAAAGAAGCGATGGGTCACCAGGACTAGAACAGGGTGCATAACCTGCAGGTATAACAGCCTTTGCCATTTACGGGTGGGTGAAATTACTGACTCGACAGAATCCGGCATGTCAAATGCGACGAAACCAAGCCGAGGTGCGTAAGATCGACTCAATTCCCTGAACCATATCCATTGACACGCTCGTAATATAGTTGTCAGAGATGCACATCTACTGGTCGGAAATGCGATGGATACCAGGATCCGCGCGCCAAGCAGATCACCCGCCTCAAGGCCGAGTCAGCCCAGCCACATGACCTGCCGCAGGTACCATCGGCGTGGAGCTTTATTGGCGATAAGCCAATAGACCATGAACATTTTCACTACTTTCAAGTAGTTTCTGCTCCTATCTTGACTGGTTTCTTCAACACGGGATTTTGGTCATACACCTTGCTGCAGGTTTCTTACTCCTATCCGGCCCTCTGGCATGCTATTACCGCGCTGGCTTCCTTGCATAGAGACTTCCTGGAAGATGTGGCGCCACTTGCGATTACAAGGGCTTGTAGTACGGCCAGGGTGCGATTTGGCTTACAGCAACATACCAAATCCATACAGTCCTTACGGGAGTTGATGTCGAAGCCACGTTTGACAATACACGATAAGATGGTCATTTTAGCAACGTGTGTGATATTTATCTGCCTACTAAGCTTGCAGGGTTTTCATTCCCAGGCTATGGCACATGTTGCCAGCGCTATGGTTTTATGTCAGCAGTGGAATAGAGACTTCCAGACCCATTCCCATGCACCCGAGGCTATAGCTTCCGTGATACTTCTTCTAGCCCAACTCGACAGTCAGGTCCGCCAGATCTTTCTAGTTCAAGGATTCCCAGTGCCTTGGACAACCCAATTCAAAGTACCTGCCTTTGAAAGGTGCTTTACGTCCCTCGATGAAGCACACGTCTCCCTGGAGGTCAAGGTCAACAACAACGCATTGAAGCTTTTAACAAGCGGCATTGATATGTCTGCACCTGAAGCGCTTGCGAAGAAGGAAGATTGTCTTCATGAGTTTCGTCAATGGAATTCTAATTTAGAAACATATCTTGCTGGCTCACCCCATGAAAGGGGTACCACAGCCGCGAACGTTCTCTACCTACGCCGTTCTTACGCCAAAGTGATGCTCTTTTTAGACCCATCGAAGGGTGAGCTGGCCCACGACGAGTTTATCGAGGATTACGCGCAGATGCTTGATCTAGCAAGCAGAATTCTCGAATGCTTGAACGATTCCTCAACGGAAAATACCGATACAGGTTCGAAACCAACAAAACGGCACTTCAGTGTAGAGAGTACAGTGACAGAGACCCTGTTCCTTATCGGGGTCCGTTGCCGTGAACCGACAATACGAGAACGGGCGTTGGAACTCATGAGAATTTACCCACGTCGCGAAGGCATGTGCGGAACAATGTTAGCCCTGAGACTTGGGGAGACGCTTACTGGACTCGAAAGGACAGCATGTCAAACTTCCCCGCCGGGGTCGTGCAGTGAGGGACCATGGGTGTGTGCCGATCATCGGGTGACAAAGATGCAATGTAAAGATGTCTCTGACCGAAAAGTTGCTATACTTCTGAAAACAGCTGGAGAGCAGAGACGGGGTTTAGAAGGAAAATGGTTCACGTTCCATAAGACATGGTAGCTACATCGTCCTTTCCCATTGCTTACTTGATAGAAAACGGCATAATCTGAACCGACAACGATTCTGAAATTTAGCGATGATATATGACTGTTTTCGGACAAGCGTCTACTGATATCCAGAAATATTCGAATATTCACTCAATCTGGCCAGCTGTCATGTTGATAGCTGTCTGCTGATGATAGCGGAACCATCGGCATTCGGCCCGCTTTGTTATCTGGCCATCCATCAGATAACTAAGCCACGCGGTTATCAGGCTGTATCGGTCTTATCGCCTTGGCTTTCCGCTGGCTTCCCCGCAATTCCCCGCTCGCGATGATGCAGGTATAAAGTTAACCAACAGCCTTTAGACGACCTATTACACTGCAATATATTCGGAAGGAAAATACGTGCAATTCTTAACAACAATGGCTCAACAGATACACGATTACCCTATGCAATCAACTGAGGTGATCAACGAAATAGGCAAGATCATCGACGATGCCAGCGAGGAGCTACGCACGCTGAATCTCGAGGTCACTACTCCACCTTACGATTCAATCCGAACAAAGTTGACGGTTACCAACGACTAGATTTTCAATAACCCCGAGATTGCTTTCCAAGAAGTCAAAGCAAGTAAACTACTCTCTGACTGGCTCGAAAACCGCGGCTGGACCGTCCAACGGGGAGTCTACGGGATCGAAACTGCCTTTGAGGCACGATACTCTGTCAAAGGAGGCGGTCGAACTGTGTGCTTTAATGCAGAATATGGTACACCCTTAATTGAATATCCTTTATTCTGCTCTACCCTCAACGACAACACAGACTAACCACCTACCCCACCCCCCATAGACGCCCTCCCCAACATCGGCCACGCTTGCGGCCACAACCTAATCGCAACCTCGGCCCTCGCCTCCGCCGTCGCCATTGAACACATGATCAAAACGCACAACCTACCCGGCACCGTCGTCGTAATGGGCACCCCGGCGGAAGAATCCCAAGGCGGGAAATGGCTGATGGCACAAAACGGCGCATGGAAGGGCTTCGACTCCTGCGTTATGACACACGGCATGGCAGACTTCAGTACCCCGGTATGCTGCACCAAGGCGTCATGGAAACTGCGCGCCAAGTTCTATGGAAGGTCTGCGCATGCGGCGGCGGGCCCGTGGACAGGAATAAATGCGTGCGATGCGATTGTGCAGGCGTATAATGGGATTGCGTTGTTGAGACAGCATATTCAGAAAAGTGAGAGTATTCAGGGGTGTATCCTGGAGGCGGGAAAGGTGGCGAATTTGATCCCAGATTATGCGGAGGGGGTGTTTAGTGTTCGGGCTAAGACGGTTAAAGAGGTCGAGGCGTTGAGGGAGAGGGTTGAGGGGGTGTTTCATGGCGCGGCGGGGGCGACGGGATGTAGGGTGGAGATGGAGTGGTGAGTTTTCTTTCTTTTCACATTCGTAATTCTACTTTGGTGTGCTATTAGTGATCGTGATACTAACTGTGGCAGGTTTGCACTCTACGAGGACGTGGTGACAAACGATACTCTCGCAGAGCAATACAGGCAATATATGCTGCAGCATCTAGGCTTACAACCGGAGCAGATGGTTCCTCTAAAGGAAGCCAGAACAGTGCATGACTCGGCAGGAAGCTCGTCAGTCTTTCCTTCCTCCCTTTGGCATGTCCAGCGGAAGCTAACTACTATATAGCGACTTCGGAAGCTGCTCGTACATCTGCCCCGGTATCCAGGCTTTCTTCGACATTGAAGCACCCGATCTTCCACACTCCATTGGTTTCCTCGAGTCTGCCAAAGGTGATGTTGCGCATACAGAGGCGCTTCGGGCTGGAAAGGCCAACGCGCTCATTACTCTGGATGTTTTGACGAATGATAATTTTGCTCAGAAAATGAAAGATGAATTTAGGGCGGCGATGAAGGAAGCGGGTCGATTGTCTGAGTAACTAGGCTATAGCTGAAGGGACCAGGTTCTTGAAAGATAACTAGAATACTGTTGCGCGTCACATACCATGTTGAGGAGTTACCAGCATATTGGAGTGCAGAATAGTGCGAACATTATACAATTCGAAGTATAATATCGGCTTGATTGCAACCGCGGTTGATAACTCTAATGTTTGGTCATCGTTACAGTCCCTTGCTTTTGCGGGTGATTGGTAAGCAAGTAGGTGTCGACTGGGGAGACTAACTCGTAGATTTCAGGCGCTTTCTACAAAACGACTGCCTTTATTTACTTGACTAGGAGGTTGGCTTTTGCATTGATCGAATATTATATTCTGCAAGAATAATTCTAAGCACGTGTCCTATGAAACAGCCTTTCTCCCGTTCAAGCTGGAAAAAAAGGTGCTAACTATGCTGGAATGGATTGCCGAGCGCACCTCAAATTTGTCAGCAGGAACTGTGCTTGTCACATGACTTTCAACGCGCAGGATGATTAGCCATCAAGTTCGATATTACATAGTACGGTACTTCTCCTAGTTCTCGGGTGATACATGCTGCAGCCGGCTTTGTCGAGAGGTGAGGAGAGCAGATTTAATATAATGCTCGATTTGATGGGCCCGATCACGGAAATGTATAGCCTTTTGTATGGGACTATCTCTATAGAACGGCGCGGGCCACAGCGCTGTTATATTACACACTAGCTGTCGGCTGTCGATGAGAGTATCGAAGCCAGAACCGTTCCTAATAGTCGCACAGATATTGAGAATCGGCTCTTCGTGATTCTTGGTTTTATGTAGAACTGCTATATCCTATGTACAAATAGGTCTTCTACCACGACTTACTTGCATTTGAGCCGCAGTATTGCCTAAGCAGTACACATATGCTACTGGCCTGTTTAAGATGGTTCTGGACAGCTTGTCTTCGAAAAAGGGAGCGGTCAGCAGTGCCTTATCACAGGCCATTTTACGAGTCTAAATGATTATAAACATGAAATTCTTTCAACGAAGGGAACCATTAAGAACAAAGATAAAGTGCGTAAGCTCTCACATTCCAGCCTGATCGACACTGTAATTGACGCTCTTACCCGGCCCCCATAACCACAACGGCAAGTGCATCGGCAATCATACGTGACAAATCTTACATATTAGTAGTACCCATGTAGGTTTTCGCGTCGTCTATGGGTCATTGGAAGTCGGCCTACTTTACCCTACAGCCATGACCCCCATGACCCTGGCCTGATCATTTGGGCTGAAGGAAAAGCCTCTCCACTTCTCATAACCCCCTACCTGAGCCCTCCTGTTCTGAGACCCTCTAACCATCTGCTTACACATCTCCGCCCACCAAATTGCTTTCCCAAGTCCACAATGCATACAACTACGACAGAGAAGCTACACAGCTTCCTATCTCGTCGAAAACCCAGCAATGGCTCAGAACACGTACCTCCACCACCACCAGATGGAGGACTCCAAGCCTGGACCCAAGTCGTGTGCATGCACTTCGTATTCTTTAACTCCTGGGGAATTACAACCAGCTTCTCCGTCTTCGAACAGTTATATACCAAAACCTTACCGCAGTCAGCATCGTCCATCGCCTGGATCGGCAGCGTTCAGGTATCGCTCCTGTTCTTCATGAGCGCCCTTACCGGACGCGCAACAGATGCCGGCTACTTCAGAATCATGTACCCACTCGGGGTCCTCCTTCAGCTCGTGGGGCTCTTCACGCTCTCTGTGTGCAAAACCTACTGGCAGATATTTCTCGCTCAGGCGGTATGCATGGGTCTCGGCAATGGACTTACATTCAACCCCGGACTTTCGGTCATGTCCGCCTACTTCATGAAGAATCGAGCCTTCGCAGTGGGCTTGGCAGCTTCTGGTGCAGCAACAGGGGGTCTGATATACCCTGTCCTCATCAACCAATTGCTATATAACCATCAAATAGGATTTGGTTGGACAATACGTGCAGCAGGGCTTCTCATGCTGATTACTCAGATCTTCGGTCTTGTTTTCTTCAAACCCCGTCTTCCCCCTCGGACAACCGGCCCTCTTATCGAGATCGGCGCATTCGCTGAACCACCTTTCATCTTCTTCACGCTAGCCTATTTTTTCAACTTCTGGGGCTTGTATTTCGCCTGGTTCTACCTCGGCACCTTTGCGCGAGACCGTCTCGGCGTCGAGGATACACAGAATCTCATCCTCGTGTTGAATGGAGTTGGTATCGTTGGACGTATCGCGCCGGGTATTATTGGTGATCGATGGACAGGGCGATTGAACCTCTTGATCCCCATCAGTATTTCATGTGCTGTTTTGATATTCTGCTGGATAGCTGTTAGTACTGTTGCAGGGCTGTATGCATTTGCTGTTGTGTATGGGATTGTGGGCGGGGCCGCGCAATCACTCATTCCCGCCACGGCAACGACCATGACGCCGGATCTCAATCGCACTGGTACAAGGCTGGGAATGATCATGAGTATTGTGGGATTTGCGACGCTAACTGGGCCAGCTATTCAAGGGGCGTTGATCGCTACTGATGGAGGTAGGTATATGGCGGCTCAGATTTTCGCGGGTGTCAGCATTCTGCTGGGTGCGTGTGCGGTTGCGGCGGCGCGGGTGGCTAAGGTTGGGTGGGGATTGGATGTGAAGGCGTGAAGATCTATGTGGGTGGGCAGTTGGGTGAGTGTCGGAAGTGAATGCGATGCATTCTTGGCTCTGGTTGGGGGGTTAGTTGAGAATGTGGGATTCTTTCTTTCGTCATGTCGGATCAACGATGCAAGTAGATCTGCAGATCTCGACAGTATCTGAAAGAGTGGCAATATGAATGTGGCTATATGTGGAAGTAGATAAGGAGTGAAGTAAGAAATAAATAACACTATTTGATTTGGTATCATGGATTAGAGCGCTAGTTACTTGATGCAAGAAAAGAAAGTTCAATCTCCAATGAGTTGTGAAAGCTTAGCCTTCCAATCTCGCACGAGAGCCTGAGCTTCCGCTGTCTCATCTCTCGAACTTTGTAGTTGCGCACTCAGGGCTTCGTTCCTCGCCCGTAGCTCCTGAATTTCCTTCTTTGCATTCTCGAGTTGAGTCGCCGTCGCTCGCAGTGTTTCCATCTGATCTGAAGACCGCCGATAGTCCAGTTCTCTGCGTAAGGCGATGATACTAAGATCGCGGATTCTGATAGTTTGATTACATTTGGTATTCTCGCTGCGAAGTTCCTCTACTTCCCTCCTAAGAGATTCGTTCGACTCGAGCTCTCGGTATAAAACTGACAGGGCTGTATCTACTTCCGTTGGCAGGTTCGTATAACGAGACATGCGCTGACGTCGCGGTCGTTGAGATGTCCCATTTCCTTCTGTAGCTTCATCATCATTCCCAAGGAGTTCATACAGTCGTTTGGGAGCAGTAGGGCCACTCGCTGGTACATCATGTCTATCACCCGTTGGAGCTTGTTGTATTGAACAGACGCCCAAGGGCCCGTCCGAGGCGCTACTATGAGGATATGTATTGGATGGGTAATTTGTGTCGGGGTGAGGTGCTGACGTAGTCGGAGCTGTAGCAGGTGTTGGTCCATTCCGTTCTTCCGGCGATGGTGAAGCGGGTGGTGACAATAGAGGAGGAGTGGCATGCCAACCGCGACGGACGCAGATTGGACAAAAAAGTGAATCTTGGGAATCACGCAGCCAACCTGCTGGAATACAATCGGCATGGAACGCGAGCCGGCAGGTTGAACAAGACTCAAGTCTTCCCCCGTGCGCTTGACAAACGCGGCAGTAATCTTCGTGCGCTGATCCATTTCCTGTGGGACATAAGTGAGCACAAGGGGGAACACCAGGAGATAATAGACGAGAAGGAATGCACTCACGTTTCCATTCTTTGTATTTTTGTACCTGGGTTTGAAGGGATTGCTCTTCAACCACTGCAAGGGTGTCGGACCATGACTTCAATCTTGGCAAGAGCGGTTCGTCAGGCTGGTTGATACTTTGCTGTGTTACCCCCTGACGGCCAGTCCTTGTCGGATTGGTCCTTGAGGAGTTTACTAGGGATGAGCGAACGGAATGTCTTTCATCTTCTGCAGCACGTGCAAGACGTCCCGTACGCGGTTTTCTCATGGCCATGACCTTAGATGAGCGATGTGATACCTGTCCTTGGATATACTCTGTTGGGTTGCCTTTGGTAAATGGCAGGTTGGGATCGTCCGGAGGCTTGCTGAGTCAGGTGAACTGGTTTGATGACAAATCTAACTCCTAGGTCGGCCGCCCTCTTTTTCTCAAGACATGCTTAGACGAATCTATCGCGAAACAACCATAAGACTATGATGCCCTTTGAGTTAACGAGTGCCCTATTAAAGCCCATATACACCCAAGTTTATACTGAGTGTACACCTGGATACTAGGATGTGTTGGTGTACTGTATCTTCCAACAGGTGCAGTCTTCCTCGTCTGTGATTACGTAAAATAACGTAATCAGAACTCCGGCATAGCTGTTACTTACTTTCAAAGCTTGTTAGACAACTGCCCAAATGACTATGCTTTAGACAATTGGTAGTCTATTATTGCGCGATGACAAAGGACATGCTCAATGTCATCTTTCATTCACAAGCGACTCGGGCTCCTTCCAGTCAAACGCAGATCTTTGGTCTCCATTTGAGAACCTAACCCACTCACCTGTTGGAATGACGTTGTTGTGGGTCTTCCGGATGCAATGGTCATCTTATCCACGAGATTGGACGATATTTGTGAGTCAGATCTGACTCTAGCAAGAATTACTGGCTCCTGTTGTACTGCCATTTGATCTAGCTTCAAGAGCAATGATAACAGCCTCAGGCAGACTTGTGAGAGCAGGCGGTGTGTCATTCTGCTGGCAGTACGCAGCTTAGCCCAGAACGGCAGGCGGGGTGATGACGATGACCAGGCTGATAATTGACTAGCGAGGCTGTGAGCCATGGGTTGCTTGGATCCCTGCTACCTGATAAGCTTTCATTGTCCTTCGATGTACCTTTGGCTTGGCAAAAGATACTCCTGTGTAAACCTCGTATTCCATGATGGCCAAGCGAAGAAGAGCATCCGGACCAAGATCAAGGACAGGGTGTCTCACTTGCAGGTACAAGCCGGAGCCTTGGGCGCCTAAAAAAGATCGGCCGACTAACCAGCTCATCATCCAGAATTCGACATGTCAAATGCGATGAACAAAAGCCAGAATGCTACCAGTGCAAGCGTACAGGGAGAAAGTGCGATGGATATAGTGAATCACGCCCAGGGAACAAACACCAGCCTGTCGTCTCCAGTAAGCCAATGATGACCGTCGACCATCGTATGGTCCTTCGACCAGGAACGCAAAAGGAGCGGCACTATTTGTACTTCTTCTGCTCACAGACGGCCCGCGCTCTATCCGGGGTATTTGAGTCTGATCTCTGGATGCTCCATCTTCCCCAACTGAGCGAATGCGAGCCGGTCGTCAGGCATGCCACGGCGGCAGTAAGCGCGGCTCATGAGCGGGCGCTGGTGCTACAGCGGAATCCATCATCCACTCCGGAGCATCGAGCCGCTAATGACCGCTTCATTATATTGCATTATAACGAGGCCATTCGACATTTGAGGACATATCTTGTTTCGCAAAACCCTAGAATCGATCTCCTGGTCATCACATGCTTCCTTTTTGTATGCTTGGAGATGTTGAATGGTAATCACAAGCAAGCCCTCGACCACCTTGAAGCTGGCCTGAAGATAGTTCAGAGCGTCATAGGGAAACTGCAGCCTCTGGGTAGTAAAGTAGGCGCGACTTATCTAGAGTTGTGGAATCTAAGCCTTCGACTGAATATCCAGCTTGCAATGAACGGACGGCCAATGGTTGCCTTGGATATCAAGCCCACTTATCCCCAGGTGAAATGCTCAGATGGAAGGCCCGTTTGGTCAGACACTTACTGGGCTCAACACGCGCTCTATAAGCTCATGAACAGGACACTCATGTTCGTCCGTTCTGCAGGATATGAACGCACAGATCGCACACACTTGAAGCCCCAACAGGAAGAGCTCAGGAAGGACTACAGAACGTGGGAAAGCGCCTTTAAAAGCTATGCAAAGGATGCAGAAAACTCCCGGAAGGTCAATCGGCGAGAACTGTTGCTCTTGCGTACATTATATCTCGTCTCATGGATATGGACGGAAACATGTCTGGCCAGACAGGAAACCATCTTCGATAACTATAACTCTGCCTTCGCGGAGCTTGTTCACTGTGCCGGCCAACTTATTGATATTGACGATGTCACTGAGCGCAAGTCCACGAAATGCGGCCCGGATATTTTCACATTCGAAATACGTATCGTCACAGGACTGTACTACACAGCAATCAGGTGCCGTGACCCGATTATCCGTCGCGAGGCTATCCGACAGATGAGTCGGTGTACCAAACAAGAGGGCCTATGGGACCAACGTATCATAGTGAAAATTGCCCAACTGGTGATCGATCTGGAAGAAGCGAATCTGTCATCGCTGGACGTACAAGAAAGGATCCCGGAGGATAGGGATCGTATCTATGAAACAGTTCCTTCGTGTTCGCATCCAGAGGATCTTCGAAGTACTCGCCAGGTTGTTCTGCTCTCGAAGCCTAATGGACCAGATGGTGCATGGCTGACTAGGGTCCGATTTGTGGAGTGGTCCTAGTCATTGGGATAGATTTGTCTCGACCTGACCGTTCAGCGACCACGATATAAGGATTGTTTGCAGTGTAATATTTCCAGATAAGATACACCTTTTTATCATACCTTCAATTGATCTTAATATCAGATGTATCTTACCATGTCTATAAAACGTTCACTTATGGAAGATAAACGTTGTGCCTCGTCGCATCTGATATGCATATAGGCCAGACGCACGCCTCCGTCGGGCATGACGACAACCCAACTTTCATTATTTACCATGTATATGGGTTAACGCTTTGTATTTAGTTTGCAATACTGGTGCAGCAAATATATAATAGCTCTACTTATTTAATACCATTTTCACACATTCCCTGGAACCCAACACCTACCATTACTAGGAATCTGGCGTAAGCTCTCGCTTGACTAGGTACATACTTTCCGGCCACCACGTTTCGTTAGTTTCAGCCAACTGGGAAATGGCATTATGTGTCTTCATCATAGAAATGACCTGGCTGAGCTCCCACTGTCCAATATCCCTGATCCACCACACCCCATCTAATAACATGACCAGGACCAGCCAATGAGCGAAGATGTCCATAGTCAGGACATGTATCGGAGTGAGAACTAATAGCTGCCTGCTTGTAGGTGACCCCGGTATTGTTGTACTTTTATTCCTAGCTTCTGCGGTAGGAGAGTCCAAAACCGATTGCACGATTTTGAGAAATTCGGTCGGAGCTTTATTGAGAAAAGACATGATAATCCTCCTAAGGATCTGCGGCGCCTCCATAGACGTAACACTTATCATGTATCGAGCCACCCATGGTGAGACAGCACGGGAACTCTCAACCCCTGCTGTATGTTGAGTATTCGGAGACGTCGCAGACACTATCTTCCCATTGTCACTTGCGCGCGGCGATAGCGCTGCCAATGCGCAGCTCTCCAGGACACTTATGGTTTCGAGTAATGCATGGACCCGTCGTTGGTCGATCGCACTACATGATGCAGGAGCTTGCAGCAGCACAGCAGTTGTGCGTTCTGCTCTTCTACGGAGGCTTCTTAGAGCACGATCACGGGTGGATGCCACGAGCGGGAGAAATAAGCGCTTCGTTGTTGGAGATGGACCGTCTTGCGGTGATAGAGGGCTTGATATTGTCGGATGGGACTCTGGTCCCGTATTCACCATACTGCCAGCAGCAGTCGCGTTGACAATATCATTGAGTATAGCGCTAGATGCGGTATGTGCTGCGCGTGTGAACGTAATCCATTGTGAATGTTGCGGTAATAGCTCGGTTGGGAGCCGTTGCCCATGTACTTTAGCTGTGGCTGCTAAATGAACGCGAATGGAGTGACTAGCCGAGGCGTACAGGACCATCAACGCCGCATTGGCGAGGACGTTATCGTAGCCCCGGGCTTTTTGCATAGTTGTTTGGATGTGGCGGAGGGATGCCGCATGATGGCGCTCGGCTAACGCAAAGAGGTCTTGAATTTCTGTTAGGGTTTGGTTATCAAGGGGCTTTCGAGTGTGTTCATGTGCCATGTCGTGGCATTTGCATGCTGCCGCCAGGCTTAGCAGGGATGACATGACTGCCTTGCATTTGAAGGCGAGATTAGGTACCCCGACCGATAGAGCGTGGAGATCGAGGGAGTCGAACGGGATGGTTTGGCTGGTGTGCGAAAGATAGTGGGCTAAGAGACTGAGCTCTGTCGCATTGAGAGGATCCGGGGAGGGCAAATCCAAGTTGAGGATATCCTCCTCGCAATTCGATTGTGGCGAAAGAGGAAGTTGGCCAGTGGATGAAGGTATGGGGCCCGGAAGACGCCCTGTTATTGACTCGGATCCTGCGAATTCAATCTCGGAGTTTGGGAAACCCCCCAGCTCTGTGTCCGATCCGCTGGCACTCGGATGGTGTTGATATTGACATGTATACGACAGTCTGGTGCATCGCGAGCATTTCGGTCTGGCTTCATCGCACTGGTGATACGATCAGATCCAAAGGTCTGAAGTATGCAGGAAGTAATCACAGCATATGCATTGTGTAATACCTTTTTGCGTAACTGCTTGCACCTGATACAGCCATTGCGGGACTTTTCATGTGACTTGCGCAACCTATATCCGGTCGCTTGGAGATCTGAGAGCGTTTTATTAATGGCCATATTGCCGACGGCACGCTAAGCTACAATGTTGGACCAGAAGTCGGGGTTCTTCGCAGAAGGGCGGTTGGGGCGTATTAGTAAAGAGTCCTCAAGGCAAGATTGAGTTTACTCAGCCTCATAAATGGAGAAGTTGCCCGTGCAGAACATCAGTCTAGTAGTATTTGTCATGGCGGGTAGTCTAGCGTGAGGCTCTGCTCGATGTAATTAACCGTGAAATTAGAGTTATTCAGTATTCGAGCAGCCGTGAAGACAATGAGTCGGGCCCTGGAATGACTTCGCCAAGAAAGTTGGGCAGTGAGTGTACAAGGTGCATGGCCTCCAGCGGGAACTTCGCCTCTCCGCATAAGACCCTGCATGAACACGAGGTGATGGTTATATTGATGGATGGAATATGCGGCGTATTACTAATACGCCGGGGTGGCCGTGCCCAACCAACAGAGAGCTTGGCGACAACTTTGTATGGTTCGGAGACCAGTGGCTGTGATGTGTAGATTTGGAATCGATACTCTGGGGAATCAAATGGTGTAAGATTAGGACTTGGCTTTGTATGTGGTAGCAGAAAACGTATGAAAAGCCTCCTGACCTTCCATGAATATATAAATCTCAGAGACAGCCTGCGTGATTGTATGAAATTCCAACTTCCTCATCCAACAACTTCACCACCTATCAGCTCTACAACCCTATTCCTGAGACATTGAACACGAAGCTCAAAATCACCACGACATCATAATGATTTTCTCTTTCTCTCTATACTTCGGTCTTACGATCATACTCGCTCTGGTCCTCCAGGCGAGAGCAGTACCGCACCCGGTAGCCAAGCGCTCAAATTCCGACCTCAGCTTGACGGCTCAACTTCGCCTTGCCGATACGTAAGACCGCTGCCCTAATCCAAATTCCGAACTTTCAATCATCTGACTTTAATGATCATACAAGGGCCATCGAGCGCTACAAACTGCTCCCTAATGACTCCGACTTTGTCTTCAATTTCACCGACATAGAACAAATCCCAGTAGCCACAAGCCAGAACTGGCCAGCACTCGTCGATGTCGGCGCCGCTATTAGCATGTCACAACTTCCAGGTAAGACATCAGTACATCAGATTGCAATCAAACAAAAAGTCCAAAACTAATCCTCAAATAGCATGTAGCATGAGCTTCCTCCACCTCCACCCCCGCGCCACTGAACTATTTGCATTAAATTCCGGCCATATTCTCTCCGAAATGGTTCCTCAAGCTGGAGTTCTTGATAGTAACAACAGCCAGCGGGTTATCCGGACGAACCTGCGCCCCGGTCAAGTGACCATCTACCCGGCAGGTTCATTCCACACGCAAGTGAACCCGGACTGCGAGCCAGCGAACTTCACCGCTGCGTTTACATCTGATGAATTCGCTGTGAGCTTGGTGGCGGAGCAACTGTTCTCCCTCAGTGATGGGGTCATTGCACGGACCTTTGGGCAGAGTATTACCGGGGATGATATTGAGAAAATTCGGAAAGCCATCCCATCGGATATGGCGATTAAGGTGGAGGAGTGTTTGACGAAGTGTGGGATGGCGAAGCGGTGATTGTGGGGTGAGAATGTGAATGCCTGGAAGGGTTGTTGGGGGGGCATAAGGAGGATAAGAATGCCCGGAACAGGAGTAGATAGAGTAGGTGTTGATTTTGGTACTTTCAGAAAGGAATGGTAGTTTGAGTTTATATTACCTTTGTGATTGGTAAGCTGCACTTGGTTGTCCAGATCAATGCGATTAGAGTGCACTTCACGTGTGACAAATTTCTTGCTGGAGTATATATTGAGCCCAATCCTCAGAGATATACAACTCCGTAGACAAAACATATATCTCACTTGCGAATCACCCACTGGTCTGTAGAACAGACTATAGTATATAGTCGTGCTAGTTAATGAGCCATAGCACTGACCTGAGAGGTTTGATGGGCAAAGCAATGACATGGATAACCGCTCACAAGGAGGTTCGCTTGTTTTCGTAGGACACGTCACCGCTGCTCGTTTCTCAGATAGTGTAGGAGACACTGTCAATCTCTTCTGCTGTTCTATACAATGACTAGGGATATATATAGTATTGAACCACAGCAGATCAATTCCAGAGATACGAGTTCCGACACCTATAATCAGTAAGTTTCCTTTCTCAGTGATGAGTTTGACATATCGGGAGCTGCCTCCTGCATCGTCCAGACTACCTGGTCACGATAACATATCTTCCAGAGTAGCGATAAGAATCAGCTACCGCATCCTCAGTACAGTGAGGACTCAGCATCTCCGCTTTTGTCGTATCCTTGTTGTGTTCCGTCTTATCCACGTTGTGACTGCTCGTACCGAGAGGAAACCGATATAAGTCAAGGCGTGGGAAAGAAATCATTACTTTAATGTTTTTTAACCTTGACTGACACAGTCACAGTTTGCACAGAACCAATATTCGCCGGCCGTTCTATTATGTTGAACCCTCACTGCCTTGCTCCGATTACGTGATCGTGATGAATGATTAAACTTGCACGATTTCGGCAGCCAAGCACTGATCTACTGAAGATGATAAGGTTACTTACTCCACCGTCCCCACTTCGGTACCATCTTTAGGCGTCTTGAACCCACTATGTTACAACTGAGGCCGGTCAACTCTTGCTATTTTCTAGAAGTCTGCGTGGCTGAAACAGTCGTGCCTGAAGAATGCGCCTTGGTAACCTACGCGGCCCTCCGCCAAGAAGTCTCGCGATCGACATCATAGATGACATATTAAGCCAGTTGAGACTACATGAACCGGGTCCCCCTGGATGCGGTCGAAACCGTCCACGTCTTCACCTCTGTATTCATGGCACTCACCACTGCTCCGCCTAAAAAAAAAAAAAATAGACGCGCTTACATCACAGTCTAGCGTGCAGAATTCATAAGAATCCGTATCTAGAGAGGATGGGGGAACTAAATGAGGACCTAGGGGTGTTTGACATCTGCAGATAGCCTCCTGTACATTGCCGTGACATTCGACGCGATGGATCAGATTGAAATATTCACAAACACACACTGACACGGGTCTAGAGCCTGCGCACTCGTCAGCATGGGTCCGCGACATGTCACGGCGAATGTAGACGCAAGACCCTTTTATCTATAAGAATGCTCTCGGTCTCGTCCAGTCCTGAAGTTTCACATCCCACTACATCCCGCCATATTCCACTATGAAGGGTCATACTTTGGCCGTGTTGGCGTTTATCAGCCATGCTCTTGCCTCTGGGAACACCTCGTTCGTAGGCATTCTTGGTCACAATGGCGGTACGTCCCCCTTATACCCTTCTACTACCATCCCTTTACACAAGTTCAGTTGATCTTGGAACCTGGAAGCCGCCTACGAACGAGCGTCCAAATTCGTCGCCAAACTAAACACCACACAGAAGGTCTCCATCGTGACGGGTGGGGGCGCTACTGTCGTTGGGGAGACCTTCCTCGGGATGGATTTCAACGACGGCTCCATGGGCCTGCTGGAATACTACTACGTCTCTGCCTTCAGCCAATCTTCCGCACTATCCATGACATGGGACAAGGACGCCGTTACCGCACAGGCTCGCGCCGTCGCACGGGAGTTCTATCAGAAGGGCGTCCAAGTCGTCTGCGGTCCCACCTCGCAGCCTCTCGGCCGGACCGCATGGGGAGGCCGCGCAGGCGAGACGTTCGGTCCGGACCCTTTCTTGTATGGCATTGTCACGGCGGAGACTGTCAAGGCGCATGCGAAGGAGGGTGTGGTTTCACAGGCGAAGGTGAGTTTCCATCACCGCGTGTCATTCATTCCTGGAGCAACTGATCGAGAATATGTAGCACTTCCTTCTAACGAGCATGAAACAAACCGCACAAATAATAACATCGCCGGATACGATTCCATGTCTGAAAGCGAGAAACGGAATTTCCTGGGTCCATACTCCGCCAACACAGATGATAAAACCCTCCATGAGCTGTACCTCTGGCCGTTCTATGACGCGGTCAAGAGCGGTCTTGGGTCTGTGATGTGCGCCATGAATAAAGTTAATGGAACCAACAGCTGTGAGAACTATAGTCTGTTGATGAGACATCTTAAGGGTGAGTTGGGCTTTCCGGGGCTTTAGCCGGATGTCAGTGCCCAGCATGCGGGACTCGCCTCCGCTGCAGGAGGGTTTGGTTACGGGTCATCGACGTATTGGAGCGAAACTGCCATCACTGCAATGTTGAAGGACGAGTCGTTGTCTATGCAGCGGTTGAACGACATGGTCATTCGCAAAGTAAGCCCTATTACCAGCTCAATCCGGATAACGGGAAGCAGCCAGCCACGGTTTGGGGAACCGATTATGTGGATCCCCGTGCGAACCATACCAAATTGATTCGGGAGATTGGATCCAAGTCAATTGTCTTGTTGAAGAATGAACGCTCCGCGTTGCCGCTCCAAAGGCCCCGGCTCATGGGCGTCTTTGGTTCAAACGCCGGGGCTGCCATGGCCGGTCCATATCATGCGTATGACCCCATCACGGGGCCGGGCCCGACATATGATGGACATCTGGCGACTGGAACAGGATCAGGACAGGCGTCATTTCCGTTGTTAGTAACGCCACTGACTGCATTGGCCTTCCGGGCTCTGAGGGAAGGAACAATGCTATGCTGGATTCTCAACGACACGTACACGTCTAGTGAGACCTCCGCTCTGGGTGCCGGGACAGGAGTCGTCCCCGGTCATGTCAAATACGCTCAGGACTCCGATGTGTGCCTGGTGTTTCTCAATGCCCTAGCGGGCGAAGGCGCCGATCGTACAGTACTGTACAACGCGGACCAGAATCAGATGGTCAAGACGGTGGCGGATAATTGCAACAACACAATTGTGGTGATTAATACCATGGGTCCGCGGCTGGTCGATTAATGGATTGAGCATGAGAACGTCACTGCCGTGCTGTATTCGTCTCTTCTAGGTCAGGAGTCGGGGAACTCCATCTTGGATGTATCATATGGTGAGGTGAATCTGAGTGCGAGATTGACTTATACGATTGCAAGAATGAGTCAGATTATAACGTTGAAGTTTGTGATACCAAGGAGTGCGACTTCACAGAAGGTTAGTTCCGGTCTCATTTCCTTTATTTTAATCTCTAGTGTGGATCCTAATTGCCGCAGGCGTGTACTTCGACTACCGCTACTTCGACGCTTACAACGTCACTCCCCGGTACGAATCTGGGTATGGTCTATCATACACTAACTTGACATACGCCGATCTGGATGTCTCATCTATCGAAGCCCTTTCCGTCTACTTCAGGAAAGAAGTCTGTCGGTTGATCAGTGGACTTATGGGACGTTATCGCGAACGTCACCGTCAGCGTCACGAACACCGGTGGCAGGGCGAGATTCCGCAATTGTACCTATCGTATTCCGAGAGTGCGAAGCAGCCTGTGTGCCAGCTTCGAGGCTTCGAGCGGGTGGAGCTGGCTCGCAGGGAGAAGTCGACGGTGACGTTCCCGATCCGCAGACGGGATGTGTCATTTTTGGGATGTGGAGGCGCAACAATAGGCTGTTAAGGGGGGAGAATATATTTTCAGTGCTGGGGCGAGTTTGAGGGATTTGAGGCTGTCAAGGACGGTTTCTATTCGGACAGAGTGACGTCTGGCCCTTGCTCTGGGGCGGATGATAGACACTTTTCTGATTGAAACGCAGTCATTTAAACATTCAGGTGTCAGGTGAATGATATTTACCGCCAACTGGGAATATCTATCTACTCTATCAATATTTGAATCGGCTTAAATTGTCTACAGTGTGACTGGAGACCGTAGACAACCAGACGAACGCGAAGGTAGAAAACAAGCTCTATGATTTCATACTTTTGCTAAACGTTCGACTGGCCAATTTCCAACTCGGGATATGCTGCGGTCCGTCTACCTTCCGAGCCGTTTCTCGGAAGCCCAAAATACCATAATAAACTTCCGTTAACCGTGAACTGTGTTACTAATGAAAAATTGTTTTGTAAGCATTCGTTAAATATTTGTAATCATCCACCCTTTAGTTACAATCCCGCAGATTATTGGGTGATGCGGTATGAGGTATTTGAACATTGAATTCAATGGAAGAACCAAACAGCATAACCTTATACATATTTATATATCAAGTAGTGTAGAATAACCTAACAGAAAAAGTGGAATAGTGTACAACATAATCGAAATTCAACTTTTCTCTCAGGTCACAGATGACCATTAAGGAATTCGGAACCGCCGGTTTCTGGAGCCGCATGCCGCAGGGAGTAATGAAGATTGATGAGAACTTTGATTTTTTATAGTGTATCATAGTTATCAGATAAAATTCATTGAACATTAATTTCTTATGGGTTAGATGGTTTAACAGAGTGCCTGACGGCTCCGCAATGTACCAAGTTACGTTACTAGTAATGTATCGGATGCACAAGTTCCGTGAAGTGGCCCGGAATCTGGACGGACCGCAGCATGTGTGAAGTCGGTGTTAAGTCAAATGCCAAGGTTCTTAAATCCCCACAGTCCGGACAACCCCCAAAATACTTTAGCAGCTACCCACCTGGGTTTTATAAATATTTACGTCTGTCTCGGTGTTCAGGAACTGCTTTCCTTTAGCAGGACCAAGATCTCTCGTTTTACGTCAAATACGCGCAATGGCTGTCAAGCAGAAAGTACTACTTCTTGGAGCGACTGGAGAGACTGGGGCCTCTATCCTGAATGGACTGCAAGAATCTGGAAATTTCGTATGTTGAATGGACCATACAGCAGATTCTTTCTCAAGGACTGATAAGTATTGATTTCTCATTTTGGTTAGGATGTGGAGGTTTTAGTGCGGCCCGCTTCTGCAGATAAACCGTCGGTCCAAAAGCTCCGAGAGCAAGGCCTTACGATCTGGCCCGTAGATCTTGACGACTTCAATGGGCTTGTGTCTGCTATGACCGGTACCGATATTTTCATCAGTGCTATTGGACCCAATGACTTGCTCCAGCAGAAGAAGCTACTTCAAGCAGCGAAGATTGCAGGTGTCAAAAGAGTCATTCCCTGTGCTTTCACCACGGTAGCAGCTCCAACGGGCGCTATGCTGCTTCGTGATGAGGTATGAATGCCGTGATTCGTGAGAGAAAATTCAAGATGACTAACAGGCAATTAGAAAGAAGAAGTTTACAATGCCATCAAGTACTTGGGTATTCCTTATACCGTGATCGATGTTGGCTATTGGTATCAGATCTCATTTCCGACTCTGCCGTCTGGAAAAGTGGATTACGCACAGATGGTTCCAGTGAAGACTATTCATGGGGATGGAGCAGCCCCTAATATTCTTACCGACCTACGTGACATCGGGCGATATGTCGCACGAATCATACTCGATGACCGAACTATTAACCGATATGTTTACACGGCCGGGGATGTACTTTCGGAGAACGAAATTTACCAGATCGCGGAAGAGATCTCTGGAGAGAAGCTGGAGCCGTCTCGCGTAAGCCAACTTTGTCTCTACTACCTTGTTTTTACTAAGAGCGAATGTCTAGGTATCAAATGAAGATGTCGAAGCCAGTGTGAAGCAAGCCAAAGCCGCTCTCGCCGAGAGTCCTCACGATAACATGAAGCGCATCGGTGTTTTCGTGGCCCAGTATGAGCATAGTAAATACGTGCGGGTGGATAATAGTCCTCGCTATGCCGACTATCTGGGTTATCTCAATGCTAGAGAGCTCTATCCAGACTTCCAACCAACATCCTTTCGTGATTTCTTTGCGGAGGTCCTAGCTGGAAAAGGCAGGAAAGTGTATTCATAGAGTTACACTCAGGAACGGAATTGGTTCGAAATATTCACAAAGCATCCGTTGCCCGGGGTGACAATTAACTACTTTGAATGCAGTTGGACTGGACATCCATTATTCCAATTACTATGCAATCCTATGAATTGAACAAAGTCCCTTAGAGAAGATTCTAGTTCCATATCTCTCTGTATTGAGACTTTGCTGTGATGTAACGAGATAGAACAATTCCAGGGACCCATAGCAAACGCACCAACTGGGCACACCTGAATTTGACAGTCCAATAGGATTTGGTGAATCCCGAATAGGCTAATATCAGGATTGACGCAAAACTGGGAAGTCTCAGCCGGAACCCTGAAGCTATGCTTGCTCTCCGCAGAAGCCAGTGGTAGTCCAAAGCCCCTGTCAAGCCGGGCCCACCGGCCTTACTAGTATTTGATAAGAAGCAAAAACGCCACCCGTTCCTTTTTCAGCTGAACTTAAGCGATTGGCCGAAGTGATGACTACGTATCGGGAGACATTAAGTTATCAGAGATATTAACAAGCAGTCGGCCGCGAAAATTCTAATCCACAAGCACGCAAAATAACCACCTATTGCTCTCTCTCCCACACTTATTGGCTTCGACATACTCTGGTTGACCCCGGTGATTTTGTTAGTACGGTGGAGAGTTGCAGGGAGTTGAATCCTTGAAGCGGTAAGTCTCCCATACGGCACCGCCTTCTTAAATCGCCATGGTGAAGCCTTGAATAGCAACGCTGAATGGCTACATGAAGTATTAATAATCATGTGAACGGCAGAAAACAAAAGATTCAGATCCCTGCGTACTAATAAAATTACCGGGGTCAATCGTAGTAGATAAAATTAGAACACGAGGAGGAAGGAAATAGATTAAGCTTTCAGTTGTAGCAGAATCTTATATATTCATAACCTGCTTTACTCTTTTGTTTCGGTTTCTATACGCATTATTCTTCAATTAACCATCGGTATCTGAGAGTCCTCACCCTACCTATCCAGAATGTCCTTAGTCCAATCCCGGTACAGTGTAAATGCACCCCAAACAGACCTTCTATCCTACTTGTTTCGCTCGCCTTATACAAATGAAGGAGCCTGGCCGTCATCGGAGCCTCTTCTGGAATCAGCAATGAAATGCGATCGTTCAGGATACACAATTGACCTGATCAGGAATATCGTGAAGTGAGTCGGTTGCGGCCTTCATCAGCTTCGAGCGCAAGGCAAGCAAGTCATAGTCTACAGTGAAGCGAACCTTAACTTCCTCCTGGCTATTCTTGGTGTTATCTCTGCTGGAGCAACATGCAATGGTCTCGCTCTTGTCTCTGTGGAAGAATTGATTTCCCGGCTGCGGCAACTTGACTGTGACATTATCCTTTTCGCACCCCAGGATCGAAAGCTTGTCTGCGTTGCAGCAGCAAGGTTGAGTATTCCTAGCGAGCGTCTTTTTATGGTTGACGAGTCTTTCGGTGGCGTGAATACTGAAGGTTCGGACGACGGTGCTTTCAGACACTGGAGCCATCTCTTAAATACGCCTGGCGGTGACGATTATGAGTGGCCTAGACTCTCACCTGCGGAGGCAAGGACAACGACTGCTATCCTGCTCTACACTTCCGGGTAGGCTGGCTTGCTATTCTTCTTTGGGCACAGATGTTAATCTTCTGATAGGACAACAGGATCTTCGAAACTCGCAGAACGCACTCACTATGGCCTTATTGGAAATATTGAGCAGACTCTACAGCACTATAACCTTCAGAAGAGAAGCAGAGAGACCATATTCATTATCTGCGGTGCGGTATGGGATTTCTGATACTGAAATTCATGCTCCCTCTGAAGGCTCGATATAAGACAATATTTCCTACGAAATTCGAGTCTGGAACCTTCATGCAAACAATTGAACGAGTCAAACCTACCTGGCTGATGCTCCCTAAGCACCTGGTACGCAAGCTTCTGGCAAAATTCGACAAGCCCAGCTTCCCGAGTGTACAACATGTCCTCACCGGCGGCGCGATCATCCCCTACGAGATGATCGACCAGTGGCAGCGACTAGATGGATCTCAAATGCAGAGTACATATGGAATGACCGAGTAGGTGGACCTTGTGCTATCCTCCTTACCTTACACAGAGTAGGACTTACTCCTTTCGCTGCGCCAATGCAGGGCAGGTTTCTATACATTGCCCGATCCAACTCAGGTGGTAGGAGATGCCACAACAGGAAGTTTGCTTCCAAGTCTGGAGGCGAAAATAAGTTGGCGACCAGGGCGACTTGATAAGCAGAGGCCAGAAAGGACATGTTCATATAAGGAGTCCATTTGCCATGAAGGGATATTTCAAAGAACCTGAGCAAACTGCTCAGACCATAACAGACGATGGATGGATCAAGACTGGCGACATTGGCTGGGTTGATGAGCGCGATCAATTTTATATTGTTGGTCGCCAAAAGGTACGTCTTTCCCAGTTACATCCACATACATGCACAGGTTCTAAATGTTCTGCTCCATATATTCAGCACCTATTGAAAATCAAGGGCGAAAATGTTTCTGGAGCCGAGATCGAGCAGGCTATCTTAAATCATCTGGATATTACCGATGTCGCTGTTATTCCGATCATTAGGTAAGAATTGAATATCTCCCTTACCTGCTACTTGTCATACTGATATTGCTCCTATTGTACAGGAATGAAGATGAGGAGCCCGTTCCTCGTGGCTATATCGTCAAGTCAAAAGACCCAACCTTAACCAGGGACGAATTGATACTGGGTGCAATCAGACCTCACTTCACGCATGCAACTCCTTGGTGGCGCAGCTCCCATCGACGAAATTCCAGTCTCGAATGTAAGTCGGCCGCGTCCTGAGACTCAACAAATTGCTCACTCTAAATGTTCAGGTTGGAAAGAGTAAAGTCGACCGTCGGAAACTGGGTGAGCTCGCCGAAAGAGAGCTCTAGGCTCTACACAATGCAGGACAGGGCATTGGCAAGCCAAACCATAGTGCTTGGTTGCGACGTACGTCCAGTGCCAATCATTCTTTGCCAACCAAAGCTCGCCTGCACAGGACCTGCATGGTTTCGGAGTTGGTAGAAATTACCGCTCTATAATTGCATTTAGCGGAGCGGTGGCTGCTGGCGGCAGCATGGGAGACTCATAGTCTTGAGCGGGATACTCGTGGATATTTCCCAGTATGAACATTGTTTTGCGGGAGGTTACGAGTCAATTTATTCATTATATAATTCCCTCACTTGTTCCGCATTAACAGGCCTTATGGACGAATTTTATGATTAGTTATATGTGACCAGACCTATGACTAATATCTTATGAAACCTCCTACATTTCGAACGATGAAGTGGTAAAATAACCCAATATTTCAACACCATCCAGAAGAGATCAGCTAACGAATAGACTACACCGTACTGAGGTCCAAAACTTGGCGACATTCTCTTGCTGGGAGACAACTGAAAACTACGTTTATCAGGTAGCACAAGACCAATAAAATACTAATCGTGCATTGCAAGATGTCATTAAGATATAACTACAAACCTCCTCAAGAAACTCTCTGAACTCCTCTCTGCCGAATTGCTTGTCTTTGCATATCCTCACGGACCCGGTCATCCGAGCCTGCCCACACATCTCGCGCCGTCTTGTCTTCGAAGTCACGTACCAAAACATCCGCATCTACCTCCAACAGCAAAGTAACAACTGGTCCATTCCCATTAATAGAAGCACGATGTAGAGGCGTATGCCCGTGGTCATCACATCCGTTAACAAATGCAACTTTGAGCAGTTCTTCCACGGCACGTACATGTCCACCTTCCGCGGCCAGGTGAAGAGGACTTGACCCATCGCGAAGACGAGCTACATCCGGGTTTGCCTTATTCTCCAACAGAACCTTGATAACATCAGCGTGACCCTTTTCTGCTGCCTCGTGTAAACATGTCTCTTGCATGTCCGTGATGATGTTGGGATCTGCACCCCAGTCGATCAAATAGCTAACGATATCAACATCGCCCTGTTTGGCGGCTAGTGAGAGCGCGTTCGAGTCCCAGTAAGACTCAGCTCGTAGTGGCATTTCCGGTATCTTGCGCCGGATAAGTTTGACCATGCCATAGTGGCGGCCCATCACTGCGCGCATCAGTAAGGTGCTTGGGATACTGTGTGCGTCGGTCTGGAACGTTTGCAGGCCGAATACGACATCTTTCGTGAATTGTTCGCGATTCTCGGGAGTCCATTTATCCATCACATGGACAAAACAGTTGTTCTGGTCTTTGGTCAATGCACCCAGACGAAGAAAAACCGTAACAAATGCTTCGTCACATCCGTTGGACTGGGAAGGGAATGCAGGCATTGCCTGGTCCCATTTCTCGAGGAAGTAGCTGACGCGATCAGGAATCGCGTCGATGAGCGTCTCCACGATCTCTTCATGCCCGGCCTTAGCGGCATAATGAGCTGCCATGAACAAGTCATTATCAAGGCGGTTGGCGATTGCCCCGGCTTGAAGTAATTTCTTCACAACATGAAAATGTCCCTTTTCGGAAGCTAGGTGGAGCGGTGTTCTCCCTCTATAATCTTGCCAATCCACTACGGCAGAAGAATCAGCTACCTGATCAAGGGCCACTTCAAGAATGTCGGATCTGCCGAGCGCGGAAGCCATGTGAAAAGCAGTGTGTCCTGCACTGTTCTTCTGGGTGAGACATGATTCGCAAACAGTACTCTTCAGAAATATCTTGGCTACTGCATCGTGCCCAGCCGCAATAGCAACATGCAACGGTGTCTCCTGGTCACAATTGCCTCGTAGGTCTGCACCAGCAATTACCAGGCTTTTCGCCAGTAGGGGCCGGTTCTTTTCAGCTGCCAAGTGCAGAGGTGTGCGAGACCAATTGTCGCAGGCATTCAAGTCAGCGCCGGCTGAGATGAGAGTTTCTAGTAATTCCACATTCGACTGTTCAGCTGCATAGTGTAATGGAGTCTGGCCCAGACTGTCGGTGAGATCCATTGGTGAGTGGGCCACGATAAGTTGGGAAACAGTTTGTAAAGACCCTGAGCACACAGCCAGGTGTAAAGAACTTCTTTTGAGATCGTCCTGTGCTTCCAAATTTGACTGATTTAAAGTAAACTCCTGTAGATCCTCTCCGGCCTCGGCGGCCCAGTGAAGCTCAGTGCGGCCCCAGAGATTGTGGGCGGCACGAGACTTATAGTCCCCATTCAGCTCTGGTTGAGTACTCTGCAACAGGCGTACAGTACTCTCTTTATTGTATTGTTGCGCATACATGATGGGATCTCGTTTGTTGATATCCCAGCATCGAACAGATGCACCGGCCTTGATAAGTTCCTCCACGATCTCATCAGATCCCTGGCTCGCTGCAACATGTAACGCCGTTTGTTTGCCCCATGCCGCCTCGTTAACATCCTGCTCAAAGTTTGGTCTGAGGAATGGTTGCACCAGAGCCAGATCGCCGGTCTGCACGGCGACGACAAAGGATCCATCGTTTGGATTAGCACCGGCTCCAAGCAACAGTTCCAATGCTGCAAGATTTCTCGTGGCGGCTGCTAGGGTAAGAGCTGTTTGTTGATTATTGTTGCGTATATTAACTGGGACTTCGTTGGCAATCAGACGTTCGATTAAAGCTGGGGTCGGGGCAGGTTCGCCTTGGACGCGAAGAAGGGCACAATGAAGAGCTGTTCCTCCGTCTCCCTTGACAATGACATCCTTCTGAGCACCATATTTGACCAAGATGTCAATCACCTTTTCCTGACCGTTCTGTAGATATGCAGCTGCATTGTGAAGAACAGTTCGACCCGACCAGTCCGGCAGGTTTTGGTCTATCATTGTATCTCTGACGAGCATCTCCACAATCTCCGCGTGTCCCTTCATGGCGGCAAACCGTAGAGGAGTTCTCTGCCACAGATCGAGTCTTGTCGCATCTGTTCCTTCATCCAGTAGGCGTCTGACCACGTTGACATGGCCATTGCCTGCTGGTTTGAAAAGAGGTGTCTCCTCCCTTCGATCCAAGCTGTTCACGTCCGCCTTGGCCTTGATCAAAAGATTGACAATCTCCAAAAACCCCTTTTCTGCCGCGAAGTATAATGGTGTTCGCTGCGAATTGTCAAGGGGGTCAACAGGGACCGGCTTGTCTAAGAGGTATTTAACCAACGGTGCGTTGCCAGCAATGCATGCCTTGTGAAGAGCGGTCTGACCCAACCCGTCCCTGAAAGAAACATCTGCACCTTCTTCGCATAAGAAGCGTACAATTTCTATGGCCCCTTTCCGTGCTGCGTGAACAAGGGGCTTGCCACATTCGCTGATGAGATCTTTGTTATGATTCAGCAAATTGCGCACTATCTTGTTGTGGCCATTAGCGATCGCTAGTCCTAACGGACTGTCACTGCTCTCGACCCCATCGCCGATATCAGCCACCCTTGCGCCTTTTGTGAGCAGAATCTCTACACATCGTGTAAGCCCCAACTGACAAGCAATATGAAGTGGGGTAAGTTTATATTTGTCGCGCTTGTTGACTAGAGACGGGTCTTGGCTAACCAAGGTGACCAGCACCTCATAGTTTCCGCGACGTACGGCGCGATGAAGTGGAAGGGATTCATTCATATCACGCACGTTTATTTGAGCACCTGCTTCGAGCAATTTGTGCACGACTGAGGCTGAGCTGTGGGCTGCTGCGAGGTGAAGCGGGGTGCTGCCGGCACCATCACGTGTGTTGATTTGACCTCGGAAGCGATCTCCCAACAGCTCCCAAAGGCCAAAGAACACCGCAATATGTAATGGTGTAGGGTATATGCGGCTCTTAACCCGAGATTCAAGGACAAAATGTAGTTGGAATGAAATGTCAAGCTGGCTACGCGCATCCAGCCATGCGATGAATGCCGGCTCTTCGCAGAACGAGGTCACTACTCGGCGATCGGGGAAGCATGCAATAACCCGCTTCTCGGCCAATTGACAGTGAGCAGCCCATTCCAGCACCGCATAATTATACAGGCTTCGGCTTGGGAGAAAGTCTGGATGGTTGAATCGAAGGTAAGCGACAGAGACCATGGCAACAAATTGGTTGCCCTCTTGCTCATCAACCACGAATTCCGGGGGGCACTTTGTCCCGTCTTCACCTATCGGCAAACCTTGAAGAAACTCAGTCACAGTCGTATGAACAACACGAACGGTGTCGTCTGGTAGAATCTCGACCAGAGGTAGACATTTCTCCCGCACGAGCCTTCTGAAGATCGCCAGCTCAATATTGTCCGGGGTTGTAGGTTTATGCAATTCATATCGGTTGCTTTTCTTCTGTGCCTTCTGGATCATCCGAACGCCGTAAAGGCCATCGACTGTCAGTGGCGTTCGGGCGGTAACAAGCCACTGAAATATGCAGACTGCCAACTCACGCTCCTTGATCTGTTGAACCTGATGGGCATAAAGCTTTCCCAGCTCAGCAGGCAGTCTGCTCAGGTGCTCCAGTAGGTCGGCCTCGTTGCCATCGCTTTTCTTCAGAATGTCGAGCATCAGCCTTGCATACAGAAACATTCCCTAAGTGTTGTTAGTTAGTTTGTAAAGAACGAAAACTCGTGATTCCAACGAACATACGTCACATTTGTGCAGAAGGGCCGAGACCAGTTTTGGCATATCCCGAGCGAGCACACTTTCTTCTCCAGCTTCCTTAGCCTTCCGGATACGGTCCTTGATATATAAATTGATATCGTGATTGGACTTTGTGACGACCTTTCCAAGTTGGAGCTGGGTTCCAAGTGTACCACTTGTCAGTCGTTCAGTGTGCCTGAGCGAACGACTAGTGATGAAAACCTTTAGGCCCGGCATTTCTTCCAACGTTGAAATCCAATTCTCTAGTAATTTCGGATCTTCGGTACATTCGTCCAAGGCATCCACCACCAAGAAGGCCGATTTCATTAAACCGAGGATTCCCTTTATTGCTTTTTTCAGAGGCTCATCGGAATCAGGTTCGTCGAAAGCCCTCATCTTGTCAGCAAGGTCGAAGCACTCGGCTCGCAGCGTCGGGTTCGACATGGGTAGTTGATACAACAACTGATGGAGGATGGTAGAATAAAAACTGTTCAAGGAATGCAAGTCATCTTGAGTACTGTTTTTATCAAAGAAAAAATACATGGCTACGCGATTTTGTCCGATAAGGTGCTTGTATATATACTGTTGGTGGCCAGTGGTCAGTATTCGAGGTCCATACAATAAAACGAGTTTTAGTTTAACTCACGTAAGAGATGAAGCTTTTTCCCGACCCAGGTTTACCTAATACCCACAATATCTGCTTCTGAGAAAGCCATTCCTGAAAGGCGGGTTGATGCAAGATCCACTGGCATGTTCCTTCGGTGAACCCAGCCTCTCGGACGGTGAGAATGGGCTTGAATTCGCAGAACTTGAGAGACTTAAGAAAACGTCGTTGATCGTAGTCTAGAATAATGACATAAGATATTTGTCTATCTTCGGTGATGAGTTGGGGTCCATACTAACCACGCTTACGAATCTTGTCCTTTTCGGCGTCTGCCACATTCTTTTTCAGCCAGGCAGGTTCTCACAATGACCCATGATGATGAGGGATAGTTAGCTTACCAATTTTCTGACTGATCATGCTGATTATTTTATTTTTGACTCTCTCATAGCTTGCGTCTTGCGGGCTCTCAAACTTGTTCAAGCCGAAGTGATCAGTGTCCAGCATCACACGATCGCGGCCATCCTTCGTCGCCCCAGCTTCATCAACAATCTATACTGTCATTAGTCTGGATGCACAAGACCATTAAGATTCTTTGGTATATCTAGAGCAACCTACCATGCGAACCTGAAGCCCAAGGATAACGTTTGGCTTAGCCTCGGTAAAATCTATGGACGGGACTTTCCCATAACAATTTAGAAAGGAATGCTCAAGTTCCCTCGTATCGGTCGACCCAGGAGACATGTATCTAAGTAGTGACGGGCTGGCGCCATCCCAGTAATGAAAAAGGCAATATAACATTCCGAGATATGCGTATTTGGATCCATTATGCGGTGTGCCAAGGAATATGATTCCGGCTAAGCTTTCGACCAGATGGTTGTTCAATTGACTTTTGTGTGTATCGTCGACGGGTTGTCTCGCAAACACCAGTGCCTGTATCGCAACAAGGGTAAAGGCTCTAGTCAGCTGAGAATGTCTAAACCCTACAAGGGACATTATACTTACCTGTTCTATCAGAAGCCCCCCGAAACTGTGACCTATCAATACGAGCGGACGAAGTTGCTTCTATAAAATTGATGCGATGTTAGGGTTGCTCAATGCAGTGGGGGTTACACTTGCCTCTTTGTCCATTCTAATATCCTCAAGATCGCTCAGGAACTGCCTTCCATATGCAGGTAAGTCTTTTACCGACGCATCTGCTTCCCAACGAGAGTCATGCCGATACGTCATAATGCGTGCTTCAGGAATATCCTCACTGAGAAAGTCTTTCAGCCACAGTTTCCGGGTTTTCTTATGGGTCCATGTAGTCTCAACACTGGATCCGAGACCATGCACCGCAACGATACTGCGTTGTTTAGTTTCTGGGTGCTAAATAGTGAGAGTCTTGAGAAGATGAGGAGTCTTACTCTACTGTCGCATTTGGGGGGTTATGTAGAATATTGAAAGATGGCGGATTTTCCGGCCTGTGTACCTGTTTGCTGTCGCTCTTGCTTTTCAGTTTTGGATAGATTCGAGACACCATATGTCGAATAGCGAAGAGAAGTAACCGTGGTGCCGGGGACATGATAACGGCAAGTAGAGCCAATGCCCTCGAAGCCACTTGTTCGCCTGGTGACTTTGTGGGACTAACAGCCCACGCGGCACCAGCACCGATGGCAACGATCAAAGGGTTGCGAAGAGACGACCGATCGGTACGAAGGGATAGGATCACCAGAATCATAATGGCGAGAGCCCGATATCTGCCCGTACGGGGTGACATGTTGGTGAGCACAAATATCGGAAAACGATAGCTGATAATGAAACATCAAAAGAAGGACGAGACCGTCAACATCACAGGCTGACGATATGGCTTCCCGCAACTGAAGAGGATTTGGTGTAGGGGAGGGAATGGGATGGTCAGGGTAGATACAATGCCAATAGTAGGCCCTTAACACATCCCTGAGGGGGTGCATTGCACCAATGCATGTATGTCCAGCGACTGACTCGTGTTCGTCGCGACTACGGAGTGCTCGGGAAGAGGAGGGGCCAGAGGTAACAGGGGAATTGTACCTAATCGACACCTTGAACTCCAGGAAGATCCTACACGTCGCCAGCCGTCAGCTACTTTTGCTTGTGCCCCATATTTGATGTTTGGTCAGCCTCTTAGCTTGCTCCTTTCCATGGATCACTCTGACATGCTTAAAATGATGGGCTGAAAATGGTGAAAAGCCAGAACATTGGCCTGTATATTGTCCCACGCTAGACCTGTTCCCCTCATAGCTGCACCAGCCACCAACGACGCCGTCTAGGTGAATGAACCTGCGTAGTCAAATGGTTTAACAAACCACATTAGTCTTGACTTTACCTAACAATATCAAGCTGTTTGCTACGATTTTGCTCAGTAACAAAGAGCAAATCAGCCGCTGAAGCATGATACAAGAATATTATGATCGTCCCCGATCCTACTTCTCAAATGTTTCGTGTCCACAATTGCTTTTTCCCTGAAGGACCTATGACGGTGAAGCTGCCGTGGGGTTGTACACGCGGCATGCAGGCAAAGGCACCATAGCTAGGCCGTGATAAGTGCTTGTCAGGCTGCAGGTTGACCATCCGCCAATGGCGCTTCGGGCTAAAAAATGGTCCCCGAGTCCGAGATAAGGCGGGCTTGATCGATCACCACTCGGGGTCAAACATGATCCAGCTAGCCTTGCACCAAGATTAAAAATACGTCCAGCGATACATGGATGTGCATATAGTCACCTCCCAAATTGACCTTGTACATACACCTTATGTCAGAGCGTCAACCACCGACATTTCAGGTATAGATGGCTACTACCAGTAGTCATATATAATCGTGTGCGCTAGGAGGGGACCTACCGCAGCAGGTAGTACTATCCAACTTACTACTTGAGTAATTACCTGCTACTAGCTGCTGTCAAGCTACGAAAATGGAGACCACAGTGTTCAAACCCGAGGAACAACTACACCACAACCTGAAAATCGTCGAAGGTCACCTGCGCCGTCCACCCCAACAGCAAGACAGCCAAGGGACCACTACCCAAAAAACATACCTACCCGGAAATCCCCGAATCGGGCTCGATGATGCATCTGCCATCGCATCATACCTGCAACGCGAACTCCTAACCCCCGACCTTAACAAACTCTCCCCACATCTCTGGCTTGTCGCCAAACAAGACAGCTCGCATATCTCGCCCCTCACCGAACAACTCGTTCGTGGCCGCGGGATCATCGTTACGGAACGGCCCGAACTGCACCTTGTCTGGTTCGACAACCACGTCTTCCTAAAACCCTTACCCAAATACCTCCTCTCCCACGCCTTCTGGAGTTATTACCTGGCCTCACCAACTTCCCCCATCCCCACTCAAACCCGCCATGAACTCACCCAAGCCGCATATGGCCTACTACGCTCCTACGCCTACCTCATCCAGCATAAATCCGATTACCTCCTAGCTACTCGCCAGGAAACCCGCCTCATCTCACCTAAAATCACGTATGGGGCTTTCACCCAGTTCATAAACCGCTGCTATAACGTTTCGGATGATTTTGTATCCCCCCGCTACCACTTCGGAGAACTTCGACTCACCCGACTGAATTTCTGGAGCCGCGTCTTTCTAGGCAAGCTAAATTATCAGAAAGTGGAGTGGCAGTACGGCGCGTATTTCGCCCGGTACTATGCTCCTATTCTATTCGTGTTCGGAGTCTTCTCTGTGTTACTTAGTGCTATGCAGTTAGTCATTGCCGTCCAGGGAGTTCCCGACTCGAGCAGTGGGAGTCCGTGGTGGACGTTTGCGGCAGTGTCTAGAAATTTCTCAATTTTCACGCTTATTTTTGTGGCAGGCGTTACGGCTTGTTTAGTTAGTATGGTCTTGGTACTGGCTGGGAGGGAGCTTATGTATGCTCTGAATGATTTGGTGAGGAAGGCCTGGGGTAGAAGAAATAAAGGAGAGAGGCTGGATATTAATGGGAGCTGTTAAGTTGGGGACAAAACCCACCACAATAGAATTTGAAACACCCATGAATGTATTTCTGACATCTCCAGTGGGAATGAAATTCTTCCGGGTAATTATTAGATTGATATATACATCTATGCATCGCTGCTCAACCCAAAACATGAAAATGTGGCATATTGACATATCATCAACATGCCATCTCGTATAGACGTTCCCCATCTATCACAACATGACGCCATTCGAAGCCCCTTAGGGCTTCGCAAGCTGCTCCTTACGGAAGAACAACAAAAACCCAGCACTGCAATCAATTAACCATTAGTAATTGCAGCCTGCACATCAGGGAGATGCCAAATGAACATACCAGATAATCAACTGACAAAACAACCCGACCCAAAACCACGCATTAGCCACGGCACTAACCCCAAACGTCGGATCAGGCGAAATAGGCCCTGGTCCCAGCTTATTCGGCCCAAACCCTCTCGCGGCGATTGTAGCGATGGAACCCAACACCTGGGAACAAATCAAGGTGAAGAGCATATGCGTGCGCGTTAGCGTTTGGAGCAAGATTATACCGAATCCCAGACCCTGGATGCTATCCAAAACACCCAGCCAAAGCCAGAGACTCCGCGATGCGAGTGCTCCCCCGACGTATCCACCAGAGACCCATGGTAGGAAGTATCCGATTCCGGAGACTCCCCACCAAATTTGGGCCCAGCGGGGGGCTCCCAGGCCGCAAGCTATTAGGGGCAATGACCAGCTGTGCGCTTTGAGGTATTTGCTGACGAAGAAAAGGAAGCCGACCCAGACGAAGCCGAAGAAGAGGATGCAGAGGAGACCGACTTGCCACGCTTCGGCGTGTGTGGAGGACCAGAGGACTGGGGGTTTGGTTAGTTGGGTTGTCATCATTTGAATGAAAAGGGAGGGAAGATGTAATTGGAAACGGGGTAACGTGGTAAATGTTGGGGGTGGGCTGCGGCAATTAACGTACAACTCCAATTCCTGCCGTAGGGGGCACTAAGGAAGAAATTCTGCAGGATGACGAAAACGAAATTCCAAAGCACAATCTTTCGACGAAATACTGCTTTGTAGAACGAGGCGATCTTGCCCGGTGCCTGGTGGTAATAATTGGGCAATCCGCGGAAGAGAAGGAATCCGATAAGAGTCACGACCAGAGCAATTGGGTAGCAAATGGCACTAAAATTGGAGACACAGTCAGAAGGTGCTACTCGCGATGGTATAAAGGTTGGGAGGGAAAACATGCGTCATCTTCCAAGAGCCAGCCACTCCACTCGTTGTCGTTGAGACGCCGTCACTAGAGGCAGTGCTCAAGGACGATCCCCAATACCAAAGGGCAATCACATATGCTTGTTGCAAGCCTTGAACAATGCAAGCCCGGAAGATCCAAATCTCCATGGGAGCACCTCCTTCATCACCGAAATTCAAGGCGAAAAACAAGGAGCCACTGGCAGACGCAACCGCATATGCGCCGCTTCCAATATTCTGGATCCAGCCGCGATTGAAAGAATTATCGACCCAATGGGCGGAACCTATAAGAACGAATGCGATGCCGTAGAATAGCCAGGGGAGGGACAGACAAACGACGGACTTGAAATAGCGATAGATCAACCACCAGCAAATTGATGCGATGAGGTAAGTAGTTGCAATTCCGTATAATTTGAGTGCAGTTTCTCCGACCTGGCCAGTCAAGAGCGTGATTTGGTAGGAATTGGCAGCGAGGATCTGGCCTAGTGCCAGGAAAATGGAATATACCGGCCAGTTACCAATGCGGATCTGCATCCAAAGCCTGATACCAGCAGGGGGGCTGTAATCCTTGCCGAGCAGGAACTCATCATCAACTTCCGATCCATGTGTATTGGAGCTCTCGGCGTTGAAACTGGACCCATCTTCCCTTGAAACGACGGAAACAGATCCCTGCTTATCACGGAAGACTGAGGGAGCTGGTGACTTTAACCGACCCAACTTGGCGTCATGGAATCGTTCAAACCACTCCTTTTCACTCTTGATCAAGAATTCCTCGATACAATAGTCTGTTTCAGAATTGCTACCCTTAAGGTTCTGCAACTTTTGCTCGAAGATGTTGTAATACTCGCCTGTGCTGTCCGTGAAAAACGGATCCACCTTTTGCAAGCGGAAGTCCTTCTTCTGTCCCACCACCATATCGACAGAAAGCAATGATGCCGTACTCATTCGGTTGCTAACATCCCTGAGACCAGCCGGGGGCAACAGGCTTTGCTCAGGCATTTGTGGCGAGCCTGGTGTTCCGGGTACAGCCAGGGCTTGGCTATCGCGGGAGAAGTGAGAGCTGGTTATGGCCGTAGACCCCGGTCGCTGAGCAGCTTGCATGCGACGTGCTGCTTCCAACTCCGCAGAAGTAGGAACATATTCATTGTCTGGGAAATCATCACCCTCAACATCGGTAGCCACGTCTTCGGGATGTTCCTCCGTCACGGATAACTCATCATGGGAAGAGTGAGACCGTGCAGCACGAGGCCTATGACCCGGGCCAGAACGAACACCAAGGGAGAGTTTGCGTTGTAGACCAGAGACTGGTCTCTCCGTAGGATCAGACAGGGCAGCGAAGTCGCTGAGTCGGTTAAGGTTGGTGTAGCTGCCCTCGCGGGAATGAAGCATGGGTGTCTGCGTGCCCGATGAAGGCCAGAAAGCGCTCGACGGCCTAGATGACACGCTGTTGCCCTGGAAGGAGCTCGTGTTAGGGGTCCGAGGGCGTCCGTGGCCTTTAGCTGTCTTGGTATGGACCTGGATGGATGTCGTTTGGAGGATTTCCAAGTCCTCCACCCATTGCGCGACGGGGAATCGCTGCTTCGCTGAACGAGCCCGCATTTTTGCACGAGTCGACTGCTTCGATTCCAACGCCGCATCAATCGCTTGTCTGAACTGATCCAGAAGATGATATGTAGAGGTTGATTCAACGTTATACCACCATCCAGGCATTTGTCCAAGTCCACCAACGCGGGCTCCCACGCCTAATGCACCCTTTCTACCGAATTCTACCGCCACAAGACCGAATGGTTCATCTCGGGAGGGAATCAAAGCGAACTCTGCCCCCGAGAATATGTACGGCGGAAGGGCAGTGAACTCAGGGCGTGAAAAGACTCGACCAGGATAGAGTCTCATCATCTGATCGAGCTTGAGCGCAGCAAATTTTCCGTATAGATCAATAACAGGGCCTACACAGATCAATTGGACCTTTGGATTGGCTTCTATAACCGAGGGCATGATATCCGCAATGAGGTCAACACCTTTTTGCATGGACCAACGGCCAACGAAAACGAACAGCTCAGCGTCAGGGTCCTGGTTGAGACCCGCCCATTCCTGCGCCTGGAGTTTAAGCGCACCACGACCTGCCTCATAATCCGGATCGACGGCCACTTCGCCGCGTTGAACTGCCATGGCTTGCTCCTTGCTCCATTCTCCCAAGTCTGAGGGGTCAGGATTGGGAAGGTTGCCCACTTTTTGCAATCCCCAAAAGATGGGGTAGCGGGCGTAGGAGCGCTTGCCGTACTTTTTGGACACGCCGACCGCACCAAAGCCACGCTGGTGGATGCGCAGATAGCTGGCTCCAGCATGTAACAGGTTGAATACCTCACCAAATTGCACGTACTGCTTCATAACGTCCGCACTGAGGTTGAAAACCGACTGTACCTCTTCACGTTCGGTAGCTGTTCGGACAGGCCAGAGACCCTGGAATTCTGCGTTGTGTAGGGAGAGGCAGACGGGGATAGTTTCCGGAAGCAAGTAAAGAGGTGCCAAAGAGCCGTGGTAGTCGTTGATATGATACAGATCAATGGGGAAGCGCTTGCATACAGCTGCAATACACTGATTCCATGCCGAATAATAGACCGCACTTTCCAGATCGTCCATGCGCGCGGGGTACGGGTTTGATTTCGTTTGTTGGCGGAAGACCGGGGCATCGAGGAGGATATAAGTGATGTTATTCAGGTAGTGGTATTGCACTTGCACCTCATATTCCGTGCCCATAAGTGTTACCAGAATTGACTCAGCTGGGGTGTCAACAGGGTACTCGACATCTCCCACGCAGGGGACCACCCAAATGAGATCCTGGTGGCTAAGGGTCTTGCCCATCAACTGGGCCATCACTCCAAGACCTCCAATTTTGATCTTTATCGCCCAGTCTTCGATATCGTACTCCATGGTGGCGATCAAGACCATGCGACGCTTCCCAGCGGCTGCAGCAGCGCTAAAAGGAGTGGCAGTTTGGAGCAAGCCTGATTTATTGGCCAGTCGCATTATGGGGTTGAGACGGTTATACTCCCCACCTGGAGTTTTCTTTTCGAACCTTCGGCGCAGGGCAATTGCGAAGCCAGACTTCTGTTCCACACCGACCTGGTTGAACTTAACTTTATAGAAGGACTTCATGAAGACCCAGAAACACGCCGCAGCTGAAAGAGGAGGCACGATCCAGAATAGCACATACATCGCAATCTGTGTCGCTTGATGTCCTACCGGTACCAGTTGGAACTTCTGAGTGGCGTCGTCGATGATCAGCTTCCAGGAGATGTATGGCGAAGGCGGATGCGCTGTAATATTGATCACAGTTTCGGAGAGGGACGATGGAGGCATCCGGTCAAGGACGGAGTCGTTATCGGCATCGCCCATCACCCATCCTTCATCCGGCGAACCATCCGGGTTCATCCCCCAGATGCTGACCTGACCGATTGCTGGCCACTCATAAGTGAAATGGTACTTCCACAGCCCATCCTCTGGGTCCAGGTGTATCTCGCTCTCCAAACCAGCGTCGTAGCCGTATTCATTGTAGGGACCTTCCCAGAAGATGTGGGGAAAGCGTCGAGGGCCTTTCTTCCAATCTGTATCGCCTTCCTGCACGTAATCGCTGCTGCCCGTCCATTTGCTCCAATATTCAGCGCGGACGTGGTACCCGTCCCAAGCTTGCTTGCTCGTGCCGGACCACGATAACTCTGTTATGGTAGTGTTTCCACCTGTGTAATCCATCCAGTCTGAAT